CTTTTTTAATTACTTGTGTCATTGTGAACTTGTGTGTGATAAACCTTTATATGCACTCAGTGCATATTAGTGCATCCAATCGAATTCGCTATAAGATACACATCACATTTAATTAAAGTGACATGGATTTTTGACACTCGTCAAAAAATTCCTGCAAATTTTGCGCTAATGATAACAATTCGAAAGCAGATACGTCAGTTTTTCAAGCAACGGGGATGTATGGTTTGCTTAAAAATTATAAGGAAGTATCGGCACGACTAACATCGCTACAGAACGCTCGCGTTTGCGCTCGCGCAGATAATGCCGCTTTTTCGCGCGGCTTTTTGCCAAAAGGATGCCTCGCCCGGTCGGGGATCAATCTTGTCCGCGGCGAGCTCAATAATCCCTTTCGGACGCTGCTACAATGTTAGCGATTTAATGGGGGTTCATTGTACCCGAATACCCGCGCCTCCCATAGTGGTCGTTAATCAACAACGGGGAGGCTGGAGAATTTTGGAACACAACGTCAAGGTGTCATGGAAATTAAATATTTAATTTTATAAAAATCATAATTTAATATAATTTATCCTTTACTTATAATTAGTTTTATGTTAAATCTATTGCATTTCAAAAGCTTAATTCACTACAATTTTTCAATTCTTTGTACTTTTATCAAAAATGATTTACCATGCTTTCTGATATTTCATTAAAAAGAAGAATATATTATAATATTATATTTGTTTTAATATATAAAATGATCTATTAAACGCTTGTCACAATTAACTGACAATTGATACAATAAGTATAATAACCATTTTGTCTTTTTAATGAATGAATTCTGCATCTTTATTACAATTTCCAACCAAGGATCATACCTCGGCATATTCGATAATTATTCGGTCCTTCGTTGCAGCTTATGAGCGGACCAGAGTGGAAACTGGACCCGTTGCATTTAAAGAGCTCGGGACCAAAAGGATCAATTTAGAAATCAGTCGTGGCCAGTCTGGTTAAACCGGTCGCCCCCTGTCCTGGTCGCAAATCCTGAATCGCTAGGAAAAAATTCGCCGCGAAAGCCGCTAAGACTAAACCGCTTGACGCGCTGCTAGCGATAACATGATTCTCGAGTTTCCGGTAATCGCAAAAGCGATTAGGACAAACGTGTCATGACCTCTTGGGCAAATGCATCCCCGCGATATCTCGCGTGTTTCACACTAAGTTACAACTTGCTGTTGATTTCCCGTTACTCATTTTTCATTCGCTGCTTTTCATCGGGTCCTTATCGCGCAATTAAAGGACTTACGTGTCAGTTTCAATGGTTTATTAGTAAAAATCATTAAGATTTCACGATGCTGTAATAAAATGTTCGAAGATTCGAAATCTTTTCAATACAAACATTGAGATCTGATTATTTCATAAATTCTGTTAAGGGGGAATCTCTTTTGTAATAAATGACACTAATAAAAATATGAAAAAAATACTTGGCAAAAGAAAATGAAAAAGTTAAAGTATATTAAAAAAAAATAAAAACCATTAATATCTCTCTCTCAAAAGAAGAGGATATTTCGTATCCTCGTAAAAATAAGATGATATATTTTCGAAAACTCGATAGGACAGCAATATCAATATACTGCTCTTGGCATTAAGTATTTTTGAACGGACGAAACGATATCGGACGTCCGACATTAAGTGAGTAATGGTATTGATAAGTGCCACGAACGCGACGAAGGGTTCTTCGGGTTATCGATCGATACGTCGCAAGGTCGCCGCGTCGACAATTAATTTAATGCGAAATCGTTCCGTCCGGATGTGCCCCGAATGCAACGACCAGCGTTTCGGTGCGGCACGATACATCCACCGCGCTGCACCGATGCATCCGCAGGAATCCGCCGATGCGAGGGGCACGCGATCTTCGGATCCGTCGTGTGCACACTTCGGAATTCTGAAGGGCGTCCGAGACCGCGGATCCGAGGAAAAAGGAATCGCCATGAAAAATCCCGTCCTGTTTCATTTTCAGCGCGAGCGGAAAGTGCGCCCAAGAGAATTTAAAACTTCGAAAGTATTCGAAAAAAAGAATAACTATCATCTCGATTTGCAACGATATATGAATATCTGAGAGAAACATTTATATATATTTGTGTGTTTTTAGAATTATAATATATAATTATTTTATTATATATTTTTTTAAATTTAGATAAATAATTTTATAATATGTTATATTATGATAAAAATTTTTAAATATATTTTCTACAAATTAGCTATTACATTGTCGAAGTTAATTAAGAAAAAGGTATTTATAATAATTTTTTTATTTTTATTATTTTTAGGATAAATATTTTGTATTCCGATTTTTAAATATCGATTCAACAATATAAGATAATTTCTAGAAAATATATTCCAAAAAGTTTTATAGTTTCGAATACCAGTATTTTTCTTTTGTAAATTCAAAGCTCATGCAAAAATCTAATAAGAGATACAGTCATATTTTTTTCGTTATTTCCGTCTCTTTATTCTTTGCTGCGGTATTTCTCGGATTTCTTTCGATCGCATGTCGAACTTCTCGACGAGCCCGTTTATGCGAAGTTCGGTTCGCAATGGTTCGTATCCATTCATTTCGCCGATATTTTGCTTGGGGTAGAGAACGCGAAGGTGGAGAGGAATCCGATAATCTCTTTAGCAGGGTGTCACGTAGGTGCTGCAGTTACGCAGCAAGTTTTTTCGTTTATCACGTACGAATCGGAGGCTTTCTTTCCTTCGAGTCCGACCGTGGGATCAAACAGGATTTCACAGACGAAGTGCGGTAACCGAATACACACCGATCCCGAAATCTCCAAGCCCGTCGAGAGATGTTTTTCTTTTTTTCGAACTCAAGAGAGGAGTATTTTTTCCGATCGATTTATGGAATCCACTTTGCCCGGACAGACTAAGCTAAAACTATTGCTAATCGCATTGTTCAAATATTTGTACTTTCGAGCAAGAGCGTGTGCTTTCAATTCGCGTAATATCCTGATTGTTTTATATCAAACTGGCTTACATTTTATCCTCTGTTAAAAAATTATTTGTAAGGAAATTTTTTAAATTTATATTCTCTAATTATACCCCCACGAGATGATAATCCAAATTATTATTTGGATATAATATAAATAATATAATAGAAAGCGATATTCTCCATTTTTCTTTCCAATTCAGTCTTCGCAATAGAACTATGTTGTCACCGACATGAATGATTTCTCACGCTCGACACGGTGTTTCATAGTGGCCTGTTTCCTTCTCGTCGGTTGCGTACGCAAATAGCGCTATCGCTCCTCGTACTCGGAATGTAAGAACTACATATAGCGTACTACTACGCAAAGGGTGATTGTCACCTGGTCGCTTGAAGCGTCTTATCGCGCGCACGACGCGTTTCCTTTATCGCTCAGGTAGGTAAGACCGAGTGCGCATATCTCATATTACGACCGTACAAACTGATGTTTGTATCATAGTGATGACCAATAATCATAAGTCAGCGATAGCGCGTAAGCAACGAGGGACAGAAGAGAAGGAAATAGGTCGCGTACAGTTACGTTGGACCTTTAAAAACGTGCTAGATCTTTAAAAATATTGACGATAACAATTTAAAAATTTCATTGATATTTTTTAAATGATAGTTAATGATGGAAGGGAGGAAAGGAGACAGAGAGTATAATTTATAAAATTTTTAAAGATTCCTAAAAAAATTCATATTCAAATAGTTTAATTATTAAAATACACCGAGGAAAAAATTGTTAATTTGACTAAACCATTCAACTAAATTATTCTTTTGTCAATTGAACATATCTCAACATATTTAATTAAATCAAATACACGTTTTATTACATTTAATATGTTACATTTAATTTAAATATTTCTATATGTTCAATTAACAAAATAGTATTTAGTTGAATGATTTAATAAAGTTAATATTTTTTTCAGTGTAGTTAATTATTAAATTTTAATTATTATCGTTGTTGCATATTTAAAAAATGTACGAAAAACTGGTAATTTCTTTTTGATCACTGAATGTAAATTAATTTTTACCTTAGTTTATATGTAAATAATATTGTGAGAAGGTTAATATATTATTAAATATCATTCGAAAATTCTTTTTAATCACCTTTGAGGAATTTTTAAAAATTCCATAAATGATGCATATCTCTTATCATTCCCTATCTAACATTATTATTAAATTTTGTAGAACTATAACATTTTTACACAATGTATATTTCTTTTTCTTTCGTGCAAAGATTATCTAATCTTCAGACTTTCATTCATTAAAAAATTTAATATTTTTTATTTGCCGCAAATCAATCGAGTTAATAACATATATGATACGGTTAATGAAAATGGCTAATTATGATGGCAAGTAATGAGAGCCACTTGCTCGTAAAAGGATTTTTACACGGTGCACGACTCGTTTTGATCCAAGCACACTATGTAAGTATGTAAAGACGGCTATACATTCCCTGAAAACCTTGAATATATTTACCTATGGACCAGGTCACTGTCTCAATACTACTCTCGTCATTCAACTAGAAATTCTCATTCTGTGGGAATCTTCAGGTAGGCACGAGAGGACCTGACTGAAGTGCAACGTGTCTCCGAGATTTTCTTTAAGAATACGGATTTTCGAACGATGCTTGCCGACAATACTCTCAAAGTGCTTGAAAACTTAAGAGACGGACAAATGCGGTTTAAGCTTTAACGGATTTCTAAGAAATTTAGTGCAACAGAGATAAACTCAACAATAGGAGTCGAGTGATAACATCAATCCTTTTCTTGTTAGACATTCTTGTAAGATTTTAATAGATTAATCAAGACAAAAAAAATATTTAGCTGCTAAAAATAGATTATATCGTCTTTATCGCTAAACATAATGTAAAAATTCGTAGATGAATAAAGACAAATAACAATAAAAATGGAGATAGTGAAAGAGGAAGAAGAGGGAGTCACCGCGAAATGGCGGCAATCTCCGATGTCACAGAGAGAAGGTCGTCAGTTATCCCTCTCGAGGAAAAAGAGGAAAGGAGCTCCGGTCGCAGCTCGTGTTTCAGTTTTCGGCTTCCCGAGAAATATTTTATGCGCGCGCGAAGGACCTCCTTATCCCTCGCTCGCTCCTTTCATATCCTCGTTCTTTTTCTCGTCCTTTTTGCCCTATCGACGCAGATTCGACGTATTTTCGGGGGTGGATGCGATGCACACTGTCGTCCGTGAGACCCGAAGGACGAGCTATCCAATGACTGAGAATTCTCAATGCGGTAGGTTTTGACCAGAAAATACTTTCATGCTTATCGACCATGAATTACAAGTGCTTTTAAAAGCATACTTGTGAATTTATTACCGTGAAATTATACCAGGAAAGCAAATTTAAAAAATGAGGAAACGTCCTAGTCGAGAAGTCCAGAAGGAAAGAAATTCTCGTATTTATGTTATATATTTTCTTGGAGGATTTTTCTAATAAAATTATTATTATTATTATTATTATAGATATTGTTAGTCTAAAATATTCCTTTTCTCTTTTTGTACTGAAATCAAGCTAATTACACTGGGAAGAAAAAACAGTTAATTTTAGTAAATCTTTCAACTAAATATTACTTTGCTAATTAAACATATATAAGTATTTCAATTAAATATAACATTAAATCTAATAAAACGTATATGTGACTTAAATACTAATATAAGCATGTTCAATTAACAAAATAGTAATTTAATTAAAACGTTTAGTCAAGTTAACAATTTTTTTTCAGTGTACAATCACTTAATTGTTATTATATATATATACATATATATATATATATATATATATATATATTTGTTAGTCTTAAATAGCTTTTCTATTTTTTTTATACTAGAGACAGTTAATTACAATCGCTTATACACATTCTCTTCAAATGTTTTAATTAATTTATAATTTATTTAACAATTATTTGTATCTAGAGAATATATATGTCAAAGAGAAAATTAGTTTAGAGTCTTCTTATATTTATAGAATATATTTTGTTGAAGAGAATTTTTCTAAACAAAATTGTTATTATGTTTATAAAATTGACGCAAATATATTCCATAAACATAAGAAAATTCTAATTTTAACAAAAATATAAGCTCACAAGTGTTTGCGATATTTATTCTAAAAAAAATCCGTATTTAATATTATATATTTATATTATAAAATTTATTAGATTTTATTAATTTTCTCTTTGATGTATATTCTGTGTACATCTTAAATAAATTGCTAAATAATTTCTAAATTAATCAAAAAATCTGAAAAAGATGCAAACAATTACTTAGCTTCACTCCAGAACAAAAAATAGAGAAAGGGTATTTAAGACTGTTAAAAATATATATATATATATATATATATATAGGTACATATGTATTTTTCGTTTACACATCCTCTTTAAATTTTTTTATTAATTTAGAAATTATTTAGCAATTTATTTAAGATGTAGAGAACATATGTCAGAGAAAATTATCTAATACATTTCTTAATATAAATCTAAAATATAAATTCTTTCTATTGTGCAATGTGAATACACGAACCTATAGTTTTGTTAAGATTAGAATCTATTGAACTCCGGAATCTGAATTTTTGTCGTAAAGAAAAGTGCGGTTAATCAAAGACAACCTTCGGACAATACGACGGAGCTCTAAAACTCATGTAAAATCCTAGAAGAACCTGTTCGAGATGTACGGACTATTACGCGTGTTCGTAGACGTGCGTATTCTTCTAATTCCGCGAAGGCTAGTTCGCGATGTTTCCGGATACAATACCTCGCCGAAGCACACAAAGCTCTTGTTTGTCGGCTTTTACGCGCGATCGACTAACCCGAGTCGACGTATATACTCTATCCGAGGTATCCTTGCACCTTGCTGAATAACCTTGCCTTGTACAGGACGTGTATACGAATTGAATTCCGTTCCGCGAAAGGCACCGAGAGATGCTTTCATACACGCTCGTTCCTTCTAGCGTTTCGGAGAGAGGGGGCGGAAAGGTCTCACGCACACATAAATAGCCACATTATATCCGCGGGATATTAAATCTATGTTAGAGAGCCAGAAAAAAATCAAAAAGGAAAGAGAAATAGCGCGAGAAACGTCCGGGTAGGTCTTAAAGAGGATCTCTCGAGATAGAGAATTAATTTTCCAACTATATATATATATATATTTTTTTTTATAATATATATATATATTTATAATATATATTTATAATATATATATATAGTCATATATAGAGATGTATAGGACAGATAATGTCAATTTTATCTATTTTGTAATCGGATGGTTTTTTCGAAAAAGTGACGTTGATTTTTCTCAGAAAAACAAAATTGTGCTGCGCTAGATAAATTCGCTCAATTTCCCAATGATCATCGCGCGCCATATTTACTTGTATTATATTATAGATTTCGCCGGAGCCGGGGAGAGAAATCTCACCGCGGAATGATAGCATCCGCTGCAGAATATTAATCAAATGCAGACTAATATTTGCTCAATTCGTCGAAAAATGCTTTTCGCTCGCTTTGCAATACCTTTTGATGTTGAAAATTTTCTATCAACTCACCGTTTCTCCTTAATTATTGTTTTAGCTGCCTGGCTATCGTTGCACTTACCCCCTTTTTCGACCTGCAACAAACAAATACATTTTTAATCGCTGCAAAAGCAGTTTGCGTCTTAAATTCTAGGTTCATATTAACTCACTGCTTGTACTTCAACTTTTGATGCTACGTATGCCTCTTCTGGGTGAATGAATTATCGCATTTACACAACAAAACGAGCTTAAACACGCCGCGAACGTTACACTTGCGTTAAACATTGTGAAGTGAGAGGCGAAGGGGAGAAGGAATGACGTAGGCTCTACGTAGCAACGCTCTTCCATCACAGTGGCGCCATCTGTAGGTGACAGCGCGAAGCTCGAACTGTCGTAACCTTTCGCGTCTCCACTACGGAGCTAACATAACCTAAATTTTTCGATATTGTGGCCTATTCGTTGTGCAAATTAATTTTAAGAATAGAACAAATTTTAATTTACACATATATATATAATATACATCGAATTAAAGCCGCAAAATGTCGGAGCGTAAAGTTTTGAACGTAAGTACGAAAGAGACGCAAATAATTATTATTTACGATATGTCTATATTCGTTTGTGCTTTTCGATCAATATTTGTGATTTTGCATTTTAGAAATACTATCCACCGGATTTTGATCCGTCGAAAATCCCGCGTATGAAATTGGCGAGAAATCGTCAATACACCGTGCGATTAATGGCGCCATTTAATATGCGATGCAAAACATGCGGTGAATATATCTATAAGGGGAAGAAATTCAATGCTCGTAAAGAGGATGTCGAGAACGATGATTATCTGGGCATACGCATCTACAGGTTCTACATTAAGTGTACTCGCTGTTTACAAGAGATATCCTTCAAGACAGATCCTAAAAACACAGATTACGAGATTGAGGCAGGTGCTACGAGAAATTTTATGGCTCTAAAACTGGCTGAGGAACAAGCGCAAAGAGAGGAGGATGAGGAGAAAGAGGAGGAAGCAACCAATCCGATGAAGCTTTTAGAGAAGAGAACTCTCCAGTCTAAACAGGAATTGGAACTGTTAGAATCTTTGGAAGAGTTGAAGGATTTAAACCGCAGGCAACAGACTATAGATTACGATCAAATGTTGGAGCAATATGATACGGAGGCTGCTAGACAGAGGACAGAAAAAGAACAAGAAGAATTGGACGAGCAATATGTTAAATCTATATTTGGTAAAAGGCAATTAACTGGAACTGTTATAGAAGAAATTGAAGAAGTGAAAGAAAAAAAGCGTTGAACCTGTTAGAAAAATGTTTAAAACAGATGAGACAAATGATAAAGAAGAGGTGAGTTAATCCTACATTTAATAAAATTATTATTTATCTATTATTACTCTCATCCAGAAAAAAAGCAATGAATAAAGTGGATATTAAATCTAAATATTTGTTGCTTTAACAGGAAAATTCCACGAAATCTACAAAAATGTCATTGTGGTCGGAAAATACAGGATCATCACTTAAGAAGAATTTGATGAAAAAAAGTAATATTGGTATAAAGATAAATGCAAAGTCAACACAAAATAAAACGTCCGAAAGCGTTGATTCGCAATTGGACAAAAATATAACGCGACGAATACCTCAGACACAACAGATATAGTTTCTAAATCAACTAATGTAAGTAATAGTTTATCACTATTAGGTACATATTCAAGTAGTAGCGATAGTGATTAAAAAAAACAATGTATACACATATATATTATATATGTATATACATTGCATATATATATATATATATATATGTACATTACATATAGATTTTTTCATGTATATATTTTTATTCAACAAAATAAATGTTGTATAAAATAAATGGAATCTATAAATGGCGTATTTATAAATACGTTTAAACATCGTGAAATATAGTTATCACTACAAAATATGTTAATATAATATATAAAATTTAAAATTTCGTAAATAATTTTAAATACGTTCATGTCTATTAGACATGTATATGCACATATAAATAATTTATTAATCTAAAGTGTGACTTACAGATCGATATTTATAGGCTGTGTCGATGATTACAGAGTTTCTTATAGGATGCCAAAAGCTCTAGTCCTAAAACATAAAGAATTAGATTATCAGAAACATAAAAGAAAGTTGGTCTGTTTACAAGGCTAGGCACTCTATAAGAAACTCTGTTGTCGAGTTATACATCCATACAATGTAGCAGCAAGTACCTAGCCTACTAAAACAGACCATATTAATACACTTGAGACGAGAAAAGAATTTTTAAAATTTTATTATGATGAATAAAGTCTGCTCTCTTTCTAAAGTATGCATGTGTGCACGTGCTATATACAGTCACATATTTAGCATTTTATTCCTAGAGGGAGAAAGGAAGGCTAAAACTTTGTGCGAGTTATTAAAAAAATTAAAATTACAACATTAAGCAGCAATGGACTATAGGATTTTGGTTTGCTTAATAACTACTATAGATTAGTTTTTTGCTTAATAAAAGAATGTTCTATAAGTGCGAAAATATTAACAATTTAATCGATTAGGCCTCGTATTAGATTTCGGAATGTTTAACTTCCTCTTCTTCCTAATAAATACTAACTACATGTAATAATTTAAAAAATATCTGTCTTGAGTGCATTAATATGTGATATCTATTTATTTTACTTTTTTAATGTTTAATGATTAATTTATTAAAAATAAAAAATAATGAACATTAGCAAATTTTGATATTAGCATAGTTTATTAGATTAATAAATCAAAAGTTGTCAAAATGTTAATAAAATTTTCAGGATTGAAAAAAGGTAACTATTATATATCATTATCATTTCAAGATATAATTATTATGCAATCTGAAAAACATTGTTCAATTTAAATTAATGCGAGTGTTGCTTAGATGTAAAATGTTTAAATAATTTTAGACATTACTTTGTCTATATATTTTAGACATTACTTTGTCTATATGGTACCCCTCAGCAGAAATTTATACCGTACTTAAGTTAAGTTATGATAAATCATGACACTATGTCATGATAATACTTGAAATTACAACATTGTAGATGTGTTTTGAAAAAATCGTTTCGAGAAATGACTACATGGTCGACAATATTGTTCGCGACGACGATATGACTTTCTATTATGGTTTTTCTTATTATTGCGAATTATAAGAGGATCAACAATCCTGAAAAAGCAATCTGTGTTTTTCTCAAATGAACTATGCACATCATGAAACCTATTTAACCGAATCGTAGGCTCGCCGAAGGCTTCTAAAGCCGAGGATTTCATAAGCCAACCATAGAGAGATTCCTGAATCGGAACTTCATAATCTTTAATGTTACGGATTTCACCTTTAAATTTCTCATTAATTTCGCGTTGACATTGCTCGCAAACAAAAGTCTTTTCCTTATCGGAAGAAACACGCCAATCATTGAGATAACATTTTTCAGATGAAATAAACTGATTTTTTACAGGTGAAATGTGAGGATATCGATTATGCGATAATCTTGATCTTTCGCATGAACACGAATCGATAAAACAAAATGTTGGCATGGATGATTTTAGTAATGGTTGTCTTGACTCGCAAGAAAAATCACGTAATTTATCGTCGATGATGTTTGGCCGCGGCTTATCATCCGAATATTTTCTCATGACATACCGATTGTCTTTATTTTTCTCTCGTAAGCTCATTTCCAGCTGAGCGATGCGATGCTCCAACCGCGTGCGTTGCGCCTGTGCCCGATCCTGCTGATCTTCTAGCAGCTTCACCAGCTTCTCCAGGCGCATCACTTGCATCTGCTTACCCTCTAGCGTAGTATATAGTTCCTGGAGCGCTTCAGTCTTCGCCATTATCTGTTTATTAATCTAAACGAAAAGTTGTCAATGTAATTAAGCTCCCCCAAGGAAAATTAATGTGTCAAATCAGAGAATATAATCAGAAAAGACAAGAAAATATGGATATATTAGAACTTTTATGTGTGGATTAAATATAAATTTAAAAAATTTTACTTAAAAGATTTTAAAAAATGATAGAATGATGGATAATGTGTCATTCATGTTACTTCATCAATATCTTCGTAGTTTTCATTAGCAAGATTATCCGCCTGCCTTTCCTTGAGGAGGCTCAACAGCTCATCCCTAGCTTTGAGAAATTTGCTTTGCTCCCGCATCACTCGATCGCGTTGCTCCACTTCCAGCTGCTTCTGTGTCAGAGTAGTTTCTAGTTCCTGATTCTGCTGCATAGCCTCTGCTAGACTATTCCGCAAATCGTTGACCTGCTGCTGAAGCTCGAATCCAGTTTTGTCGTTCTCTTTCGACTTTGTGCAAAGATGATGCCGAATTTCGGATAATTGATTCTCTAGTACTTCGTTCCTTTCTTGCCTGCATAATTGAGAAATTCAGAATCTGACTTGCAAATTCAAAAAACATTAAGTTATAAACAAATCTAAGAATGTGAAAAATTATCATATCACAAGGACAATCTAACTTCTGTATAAAATAAAAAATAATTTAATTATACCTATATATATATATATATATATATATAGGTATTTTGTAATTTATATATTTTATGTAAGGGAAGCATTAATTATATACTGTATATTTAGCGTATATTAACGGAATAACGCTAGAACTTACGTGAATCTTACGATCTTTTGCAACTGAGCGTGTTCTAACATCAAATTCTGAAGATTATTGGTCTTGGCTACAAGTTCGGCGGCCAGTTTATCCTTCGTTTCGTCTTCGTTATCGCTCTGCGGGTGAATAAAAAAACGAATAATTGAAAAACTAATTTCGTGGACTAGGATTTAGCAGAGGCAAAATTAAAGATGGTCTAATGAGCAAAGAAATCGATGAAAAAGCAAATTGAATAGTTCTTAGTTCTTATATGAGCAGTGATTCTGAAAGTAGTGCAAACTAACAGCCGCCTGATGCATCACAGTGACAATCTCTTGCTTCTCCCTCTCTAATTGCTTGATCTTTTCCCTTTGCTGTTCCAGTTCGGTTCGAGCCGCTGTCAAATCGTTATACAGACAAATTTCGTTCTCCGTGTGATTGTTATCTAAAATACAATCGTGAAATTTTTGATGAATAAATATTACATCTATATTTATATCGTTTGATTTTGTAAATACAAAGATTTCTCGATATTTTGAAATTGCTGAGCTTATCTACCTGCAACAGCCATATTACTGTTCTTTTCACTTGCGAGATCGCAGAGCAGTTGACTTTTCTCTTCAAGTTGTTTGCAGCGTTCTTCAATCTCTGTTAGAGCGCTTTCGGCTTGTTGCCTGTAATGAATTTGATTAAAATTAATTTTAATTACATTTTTAATCAAATCTATTGCAAATTGAGAAGTTTCTTCAGAGAAAGAAAAAACAAGAAATTATTATACATCTACAACATATAAATTTACAAATTATTTTTATTCTATCAAATATTAATTATATAATTATTTTATTTCTTTGAAAATAATATTGAATGTGAAAAAATTATGTTAAAGACGGAACTGTAACTTACCTCTTTTCTCTTTCTTCGTTGATTTCTTCATCGATCGCTTGGAACTTTTCTGATAATGTCTTAATGGTAGCGTTTGCTTCAGTTTCTTTGCAAAACATCTTTTGTTTGAGCCCTAGCAATCTAAAGTAGGTAAAAAACTATAGATTAGAAAAAATCAATTATGCTCTTATTATATAAGCTCTTATTATAAGCAATCTTTTCCAGCTAAAGATATAAATGATTAATGTGTGAATAAAGATATAAGTTATTTTTAATAGAAATCTATAATTTCATTAAAACTGCTTATTTATTTATTTAAATTTATCATTCGACTCGTGTTAGATTTTTGAAGATAAAGCAAAAAATCACGATAATTCGATAACTAAAATGATAACCTTGACTCGAAAGTGTCACGTTGCTTCTCCATCTTCGCTATGAGATTCTCGCTGCTCTTCATCGCTTTATGCATATCCTTCATCCTCAGTTCCATTGTCTGATCCTTCTGCTTTAATTGAGTATCTAACGACTTTACGTTGTTTTGTAATAGCTGCGATTTCAGCTCCTCGTTAGCCACATGTCCCTCTAGCTCACGAATCTTCGTTCGTGTTTTTTGTATCTGCGACTCCATCATTCGTATCCTTTCCTTGCCTTGATTCGTCTTCTCACGTTCTGCCGTTAGCTCCTCCAAAGCGGCGCTCAGCTGCTCCTGCAAATTCTTGCGATCGACGCGATTGTCATATTTGATGCACAAATTCGAGACTTTCGTCGCAAATTCAGCAATGAAGTCCTTTTGAGCCGTTTTCAGCTCGTTCAATCGCGTTTTCAGCTCATCGTTGCTCTGCGCAAAGTTCACCTGCTGAATCTCTGTTTCCAAGTAATCGATTAAAATCGACATTTTGCCCATCTCGTCCTGCCTGCTCGAGTCTGTCATCCAAGATTTGACTAAAGACGCGAACGATGAACTCCTGTTCAGCGCATGTTGACAGAGCTCTTGAGAGCGATCGCAGAGATCCTGCAACTGATTTTGCAGCAGCGACACGCCGGTCACCATAGACTCGTCCATGCAGATCTGATCCCATTGTTCGCAATCATGCCGAAAATTTGTCTCGATTGGCATCAGCGGGCTTTGTCTAGAACATTCCACTTGAATTGATTTTGGCTCTTCGACCTTGCCGGGGTCCTTGCCGCCGGCCGTGATTATCTTCTCCCGTAGATTCGATATCTCGACGTACAGATCCTGCACCATTTTCTGGAAATGCGTAACAGGAAAGAATTTAATTTTGTTCTCCTTTATTAAAAAATTTACTCAAAGTCTGATATATTAAAAGGAAAAAATTAATTAAGAATTCACAATAATTGAATTGCATCTACAATAATATAGAAGATAAAAGATCTTTTCGTTTAATATATGAAAAGTCGTTTCATACTTGCTTATCGGTGAGGGTTTTTTTAAATTTGTGTATCGCAGTTTCTTCGAGCTATATTGGATTTCCAGCTGTCGTTTATCCGCGGCAATCGCATTCGTTGGTTTTCTATTAGGCGACAATATATTCAGAGCCTTCATGCTTAGTCGACGAGCGGAGTTATTATTAGAGCTAATTCTGCTAGAATACTCTTCGTACGTTGGCGAGTCGCCCTGCAAAAAAATCAGTGTGAGTTTGATGTGTAGTGTAAAATAAAAAAAATATTGAAAAAATATAAATTATGAATAATTAGTATAAAATAATAATTATTAAATATTAATTGAATAAATAATAAATAATTAACGATTGCAATACGTTGCACTTGAATCAAACGGAGCGTTCTGAGAATAGTGTACAATCTTCCTTTATTAAACTTAACTATTTAGCAACTATTTAGTAAGGTATTGTAATATTAACGTACTTGCATGGCATTTCGCCCGACCTGGGTTGTTGGAATTCTACTCTTGTGAATTTTATTTCCATTAAACGCTGCAGATTTTCTCGAACTACTAGATAACGGGCGATCTTCCCCTTTTTCTATAAAAAATAAATGTGAGTATATAAATAAATATATGTATATATTTCTCTTTACTAAAATATATTAAATATAAAAATATATTAAATATATTGCATAAAATTGTACACTTTAGATGTTGTAAGGTTTGCTTTTCTTAGCATTTTATGTTTTTGCTTTCTTCTTTCTCCATCCTTAAATATATAAGTACATATATAAGTATAAATCAATTTATGTTTATATTATACATATAAGAAATTAAAAGAAGAATATATCTGTAAATGTACTCTGAATGATTCTGTGACAGTTAGCATTATTTCTTTAACCTCCATACAATAATATAATTATTTCAAAATTCTAGAACATTATAAAGTAATATTATTGTCAATTGAAACTAATAATTATTTTTTTAGTAAAATGCTCAGTTAGAATAATTTCAGTATCCAGTTCAGTGCCACAAGATAACAAGAAAAACGTAAAGATACCATAATATGACGTCAATTTTATTCAAAATTCTAGGGTTAAACGTTTTAAAGATATGACGTTCCATTTTATATCGCTGTTGGAAATATGCAATAACAAAAATATAAAAAACATCAAAATTTTCAAGTTTCTATATTATAAATCCGGATGTAACGTATAACCTGAAGGATTTATCGGGGCCGCTTCGCTCAGCATTTTTCGGCCCTTTTTCACGATAATGTGGCGCGATCGGTGACAGCTGGATTTACGAATAGATCTGCAAGATTTTCAAGAGGGCGAGAAAAGTTTCAATTTCGTAGTTTTGTTGATTAGATGGAACGCGAGACGAGCGAGCGTGCTGGCGTTGAGACAGTCGACGACTTTGAGCTGTTTCGAAATTGAGATCAATTTTATATGGAATGTTCGCACGATGACATTTCCAAAATACAGTGTAATAAAATTGATTAAAAATTCTTTAATATACACGCGTTAATTTTAAGAGTAGCGTTTGAAACTTAATATTGCATAATATTTTGCATATGTGATTAAAGTATTATATTTTGATTCAATAGAATTGTGTATAGAATATTTTATCAAATTGTTATCGAAAGATTTCATAAGAACTTTTTACGGTAATTGTCAATAAATATTTCTTGATCTCGGAAAATAAAAAAAATTTACACGAGTGAGCATAAAAAAAAATTTATACAAATAGAATTTTAAAAACCTTTCTGATACAACAAATATTGAAAGACATTCAAAGAAAATTGGCTTCTTTTCGTGAAGCAATTTAAAATTTCAGCAAGTAAAAAAGCAGTAATTTTTTTCTGATTTTGTTTAGCAAACATAGTATAATTTTTTTACAGAAAGATAAATTAATATTTTCAACATTGTAAAAAATGTGATCATGCAAAAGACACTTCCGACGAAGGAAACGTGCTTTTCCATGACGCACGTGCGCTTTCATTAAGCATTCGTTAGAGTTTCCTGGAAAATGCGCACTCGCAGAGCTGGCTGGATTATGATGGACAAGTGGCATCGTACTAATTGCCAAAAACCGTACGAAGAATTCCGTCACACTCGAACGAATAAAGCGACAGTGAACAAGGTCAAGTTAATTAACCAGTTTAATTCGACTTTTTTATGGCTCGCAATAATATGGTCCAGCTGTTGATGTATTTTCTAAAATATATGAATCATGATCTTACGATTCGTTTCATAATATGATGCAATTAGCAATTTTATATATTTTGTTTTTAATAAAAGTGAAACTGTATTATCAAACGTGTTGGAAACGTGTTGGAAAAATCATAAAAAAACCAAGTCTTTCTAGATAAAACTAAAAAATAATAATAATTTTTATTCTCGAAATAAATTACAATTATTACAAATTATAAGGTTTTGTTTTAACTTTTTAGATACATCAAAGTTTAAATGAAAAGTAAAGATTGCAAACAGCAGCCAATCAAGTTTCACAAATTGTGAATAAATTTATACACACACATATTTACGAAATATTTATCTATTAAATATAAAAATTTATTTCCATCAACAATTCTCACATACGATCAATCTTTTTTTTATAAACGAAACTTCAAGAAAATAATTATGTCTACAATCGTCGCGGCGGCCGCAGCAATATTAATTTGTACTACTGCGTTTCACGACAAATGATCATGGAATTGCGGTAGACCTATATATGCTCTGGATTTACAGTTTTTAATTTTTATTTACAAATTATTTATATTATATCAGAGAGAAAGGAGAAAACACTATAAATATATACTTTTCAAAATACATCTATCTAAATGATTTAATCACATTTGCATCTCACATATGTTTCTAATCCGCAAATATCGTTTTCTAGCAGTTAGGCTGAAAAATATGCAAATGATTAAAGTGCAAAAGGATGCGTACATGATTACGAATAAAACGATCGAAAAAACATTTGCACCAATGATAAAAATTAAATTAATTTAAATTATTAAATTAAAGAGAGAAAAAACTACTTATCCGCGCATATACGCAGGTAAGAAACATGCATCCCTGTTTATTATATATGCTTGAAAATAGCATTGAATAATCATCAGATTTTGATTTTTGAATTTTGTATATTTTTGAGATGCTCGTAATCATCTCATATGAATATACGAATAGCGAAGAAACCCTTTCGGAATACAAACTGCGCATGCTTATAGTGGCGAATGGTGTTGATATTAACTCCGGCTGCGAGAGTCACAGTTGTCAGTCAGCCGAAAATCGGCGGCAGTGACGGACGTGTATTTTGTATGTGTTCATGTGCATGTTTCTCTGTCGTGTTGCAGAATGCACGTGACTTATAAAAAAAAGCAGAAAAAAGTGCAGCGTATAGCAAGTGGTACGAGCAACGTCACAGTGAGTACATTTATTTATTTTCAACTTTGCAATCTATTCTTGATATCAGCTGTCAAAGTTGACAGCTGATAGTGCTTGACTGTGTATCGATTATAGTCGACAATTTTGCATTTAAAATAAATATGCTTAACTACCGAATATCAGCTATCTGCCATAAAGTTTAGTAGTACTTAACAGATTAAATTGAATATAATACTTCTATTTCAAAAATACAATTTTATATATATTTTTCCAAATGTTCTCTTTTGGTAAAGAAAAATGTACACAATATAATACACGAATGTCACCACGTTTTTTTAATGAATGACAGATTATGCTGAATATATCTCGAAGCTATTCTTGGTATAATAACATTTTTTTATTGCACGTATATATAGTTGCTCGTAAGAAGAATCCTTTGACAATGGCTAAATATAAAAAAACGCTGATATAATTAGCTGTACTAATTTATAGTCATACTAATCAGTTTTGAATGAAACTCGTACAATAATATAACATGAAAATAAAGAATGAAAAATAACAATATGCACATATGTGATATAATATTTACGTACAGATAAAGTCAATATTAAATTAAATAGCTTAAAAATTAAAAATAAATAAAAGAAACTAAAAACAATAAATAAATAAAAACGAAGTTTTAATATATGACAAAATACATATCCTGCGTATGCGTAAATATGTTATTTGTATTAAAATTATTGAAATTAAATTTGTGTATTTAATAAAGGATAATAATAAAATGTAATTGCGTGTATCCCGATTGAAATATTTGTTGCTGCTTCGATCGGCTTATCGACTAGTCGAGCGTGCTGAATGCTTCTCTCATGCACGACTAGGCACCTTATTCGAACGTATTGTCAAATCGTTCGTAGGGACAGATAAGGACAGCGTAAAGCAGGGAGGGACGCAGACAGGAATTGCATCTGCAATGCAACATGGATAGGTTGGATGAAAAACGATCGAACCGCGATGATTCCTCTGCCAGCAAGCGGCTGCAGAAGTGCATTTTCGTTTCTTATGTGAGTGCTGTCGGAAATATGTCGCGCCGGATTTTTTTTACAAATCAAAAATCTGCTATCCCGACGAACTGCGAATTAATATTCGTGGTTTGGGGTCGCTGTTAATTAACGATTTTAACATAAAATTATTATATTATAATAAGTTCAGAATAGAGGGTTGATTGCGAAGGCTTAAATTCCATATTGTATTAATCTCCGAAAAGAGAGATCAAAGTGTATCAACAATTTTTTATAACTATCTTATAATATCTCTTCTATAAATATATATATTTTAAACATTTCAAATTTTAAGTTAAAAATAAAATTAATTATTGCTTCGAATAATCATGGCAAAATCATATGAAACAATCAATTGTTGAAGTAATGATTTGATGAGTATTAATGGAATAACATTTGTAATAAATATCATGATAATTTAATAACTATATATTTGACTATTTAATTCTGAAAACTATTAATAATTATTATTAATAATTATTATTATTATTAATAATTATTATTAATAATTAAAACAGGGAGGATATACAATGTATGCGTTCTCTATATGCATTTTCGAATTATATTTAACGAAAAATTTCGTACACGTCAAATCGGTCAGCCATTGACGCATTGACGTTTCGATACACCAAAATAATGTCGATGGCGGCATTTATCCGGCGCAGCTACTATTTCATATGAAATATCAATGCTTTATTCGCAAGTTTTCACCGAACAGCTGGATAGTTCAAATTTTTTTATTAATACTTTTTATGAATACACTCAATACCAGTGTGCTATATATTGATAAAAAAAACCATCAGCTTTTATATATCGTTGTTTGTAGAGACCAGCTTTGATATTCTTTTACATAAAAAAAATGAATAATTTGTCGACATGAGTTTTAATAGAAGTATTTAATGTGTATGTGCACATTTTTTTTATATCTCTCTTATAATTCTCGGAAGTGTAACGTACCATTTTGTTATTTGATTAAATATTTGTTTTTAGTTGCTTGAGTTATATGTACTTTATATTATTTTATACGAAAAACAAAACCATTAATAATTCATATATATATTGTGATTTTCTATAATTTTATACTACATTGTAATTCCTACATTTCTATAAAAAATATTTATATAATTAGTTATTAATTGCTTATATAGATACTTATTAAATTTTTGTAAAAAAAGCCTGCTTCAAAGAAAATGAATTCGCGTCCAAAGTTTACTGTGACATATAACAGACACATATTGGGAAAGTATTCTGTCAAGTCCTAACATGACCAAAACGCAATTTTCTTCAAAAAGCATTCGGTAAAACAGAATTCATGTTGTATAACAATATAAAATCTTCGGATTTCTCGTGGAAAAATACATTTAGAGAAAAAGAGAGAAAAAAATCCGAAGAAAAACTATTTTCAAGAGACGAGGGAAAAGGTATAATGCAGGGATATATCTCTCACGGGGCATTTCACGAAATTATTAAGGATTACGGTATCCTACGCCGTTAAAGATTAAATCGTCTATCGAGGAAAGCATGAATACGTCTCTTCCTTTCGTAAGCGCTCTATCCGGCGATGTCGAGCCTCGTAATATCGCCAAGACGATCCCTGCCATTCATCGGGCTCGTCGTTTTTCTTCCAAACTTCCAAACCGACATATTGACGTTGCTCGCTGGCAATTCGTCGTTCGGAGTTGCGCTTTCCTCGATGTAAATCCCACCTCTAGTTCCATCACGCTTCGTTCCGTCATCATCCCTCTTAAACTCCGCTGTTTATTCATCCGGCAACCTCATTTAACTCGATAACGATCAGTTTTGATCCCGATAGCAATACGAGTGTACTAAAATTTAGATGGACTCTCCCCCTCTCTTCTCTTTGTTCACACATTCATTTAAATACAAATAAACTAATCTGTAAAATCACATTTTTAATTACAGCATCTAAACAACACGTTTTCCATCGAGATTAAAAATGCACACAAGTTGAAATTGCACTGTAATTATGGTATACTATTTAAACCGACTATTTTTACGTATACGAGTTGGTATAAAATAAAGATATTATGAATTAATATTAAATTAATAAATAGAAACATTATTTCATTTATTTAAGGTTCTATTTGTTTGCGATATAAAATTTTAATGATGATACATGTTATTCATAGATAAAGAGCTTAATAACGTGTTTAATAATTTATTATAGAATTAATGTAAGTGGAGTGATTTTAACCGATGTCAAATACACAACACAATATTTTTTAAATTATAAAATGAATTTATTGAATTTGCCTGGCGCGGATATTGATATAAACTTTGCAAGACTCTAATCGATGATCGTATGTCCACATTAATACGGTGAATAAACCCAAATTTTGATAAATAGATTCATTATTCCGTTTGATTAGCTTTTCAGTAAGTGACAATATAAATCCCTAAAATACAATTGAGGTATTTTATAAATTAAACGATATTTACATATTGTGTGCATGTGTGTGTTAATAAATCTTATAAAGTTATTCAAATATTAAACACGTTTATTTAATAATCGTCAGGGCTTTATTAAAATACAAATAATTATTAATTAAACTATTTATTGTTACCTTTTTTATTAAATTTTTTCATTACGTCATATAAATTTGTGAATTTACGCTTTTAGAAAAAAAATAAAAGGCAAAAAAATTTTTTCTGCAATATTTTCTATGCAAATGATCGTAATATAACAATAACGACAATAAAATATAATTATTTCGTATTATTATATTTTCAATAATTCTGCTTTGTTTTCAATGTAATTCAGAAATTTCCTGCGGATAAATCGAAAACGTAATATAATTTTAAAATAATAAAATAATTTCGATAACATATAAGCGTCTCATTCAAGAAAATCATAATCGCAGAGAAAGTCGGTTCTCTTTTGATAGATATTGTTTCTGTTGGTGAGCGAGGATACAACGAGCAGGGCAGAACGCCAAGCAGAGTAAAATGCCATGCCCTATATACACCGCCTTGGCGCAATATATTTAGGCACTTGGGATTTATGGTTAACCAGCTTATTAGAGGCCAGTGATGCTCATGGATCGATACATCACATATGGTGCACAAGCACCGTGTTTCTTATCTCACGCATTGATACGATCGCGAATCTGCATTGATTATCTAAGTATTGTAGAAAAAATGTGCAGAAAGAAATTGTAATTGCATCAAAATTTAATAAAAATAAATAATTTTTTTCCCTTTTTAAACCGCTACAAGATTTTATAAAATTTGAGAATCATTGTTCGTTTCAATTATTCTGGCCGCAATGCAATGCATAATTAGCCATTTCATCGATTCTCATTTTCATTTAAATAGAATATATTTATTAATATTTTTCAGTCATTAATAAATACGTGCATACCTTTCTTTGATAAATAATTAATAGTTTTGATGAGAGAGATACAAACATTTATTATATTTCACAGTAATATAATATTGCTTGATTTCAGAAATTATTAAATTATTAAATTATTTAAAAAGTATATGTTTTCTTAAACTGCTTATTTATGTCAGAGACATTTTTCATCTTTATCACCATGTTGAATATTTCGGATGCATGATCGTTCAATGAACTGAGAAAAGCGTGAATAATTTAACATATTCGTTTTGGCACCAAGATTCTACCCCACGATCGGTGAATGACTCAGTCAGTGCATTTTCAGCGGCGCTTTGTTATATATCGAGCACGTGATTACCGTGGTAGCAATTGTCTCACGTATTGACATCACTCTAACTTATGGTACTCTCCCTCTCTCCTTGCATCACTGCACATCCTCGTGTTCGCGATCTCGCAGTTACGTTAAAATGAAACGATAATTCGCGAGATCAAATTCGAAATTGGAATCGTTATTTTTTTCCACACTTCACATCATGTTCCCAGCTTTTCAATTAAATCCACTTGGATGACACTGCCTTTTCAAATAAACTGTCAAAAATAAAAAAAATTATTTGTTTTATTAAGTGTAAAATGTAAAAAAATATTGACTTTTATATGATTAATTTAAAAATTAAATCACTTTGCGTCAGAATGACAGTTCGCAGGATCAGATCGAATCGATAATTGGAACAATCGGTTTCCGATTCTACGCTTCTTTCTTCTTTCGTCACGATGTGACTTCGGCAAGTTCCAATTAATTCTTTTTTGAATGACTTTCTTTGGAGACACGTTAAATTTAAGAAATTTATTCTTTTCAGATATCAAATAAAAAATTGATTTAGCCATCTTTGATGTATTTTCATTTATCGTATATCTTTCTTTATATTCTGTAATATTAGAATTTACAATGATTTTTCAAATATTCAAATCACTGTATAACTGTGATTTTTTTTTAAATAATCACGTCGTGCGTTCTGGACAGGAGTGAGAAATGTTAAGTTCGTCGACATTCGTGCGTCAGGACGTCCGGTTATTTTTTCCTTTGCTTAAATTTTAATTAAAATGCAGGGAAATAACGGGGAAATAAACGATGAACGTGAGGATGTGCAATGGACTTTCAAACGTGAGGGAGATTAGGAATTGTCGGTTGTTCTGCCGAAACTAATTTGCATTTTAATTTTATATGTTCCTATATTGTAATTTAATTTTTTTGCGCGTTTAGTGCGCCATTAATTATCTAACCGATAAGCATAATTAATGGACATAAAAGAGAAATCAATAATAATTCGTTATAAATTCCTCAATAGTCAACAATTTAAAACGAAAATGTAAAGATGGAACAAATTACATAGAATGCTCAAAATAAAGTAAATATTCTTTTAATTATATTTATTTGTTCGCAAGCGTTGATTAAAATGGAAATGTTTGATATTATCAAGATTGATTTATCAGGATAGAATAGAAATGTTTACACTGCTGCTACATATTCTGCATTACATACGAGCCTTGTTAGAACGTTATTAAAACTGATCAATTCGCAATAATTACATATTGATATTTTTCTTGTTATAGGTGATGTACAGTATTGGAATTGTATACTACGTTGCTTTGTTGCTGCTTGCTGTAGTAACAAGCACGAATTCGACAAAATGTTCCCGAATTATAGAGGGTACCACTATGTCGCGCAGCAACGCCAAAGACAAATACAACTTTTTTATGACACTTTTCAACAGGACCGAACATATATATGCATATATGCCAAATACCAAATATAATGGTAAGTAGACAAACTGTCGTGAATAATTAGCGCCACGAACAAATATTAAAATCTCATTATAATTATAATAAATCTAATTGTTTATATGTAAAAAATTGAAAAATATGACAATAATTGCGATTTTATTGTCGTACATAAAAAGAAAATTTCAGTTAGCTTAAATTATTATATATTATTTATTACATATTGCATTGTGTACTTGAATAAATTTATTAAACTATATATATATATATATATACTGTTGAATGTGTACATACATGAATTGAGGAAATGTCCGATATTGATAAGTTATCAAAGTTGTGTCAAAATCAAGCACGACTTTAATCATTAATTCTGTCAATATCTTTCGCTGTTTACGTGATATTAAAATGTTGTTGAGCTTTGAATATAATATATATAATATATGAATGTACAAACGTTTGCTGACACGGAATTATAAAACTCTAAAAAATGTTAGATATTGCATCAATCATCAATATGCTTTGAAAAAGATTTTACGACATTGATGAAATAATAGCACGTATTACGAGATGTAACAAGTGTGAAAATGATAAATTATAGGAAAATCATGTAATCCGCGAAAGACAATCAATAAAGCTATTTATATATGTTATGATATTTACAATTGTGTAAATTATATCTGTGCAAATCACTATAAAGTAGAGAAGAGTGTATGATTTTTTTATTCATATAAAGATAAATCAATATACATACATATATATGAATTTTGATAAACAGAGAGAATTTTCTTTTAAAATTTACTTTGAAAATCGTGAAACAATATGCTATTGGAAGAATTTTATAAGAGTTTCTCTGATTAATATTTATCAAAACAATAAATATTAATATCTACCACAATAAGATATATATAAAATATATATATGTTCGATTAATTGTACATATTAATATTTTTTATTGTGATAAATATTAATCAGAGAAACTCTTATAAAAATGTTTTTAATATTATATTGTTCCACGTTTATTATAATTTGAAGATAAATTTTAAAAGAAATTCTCTCCGTGTATTCAATAATAGAAAATTAGATTTATCCGCAAATCCAAAAAGCACGTCTTAAATAAAAAATATATAAAGAGAAATCTTTTTTTCTTTATTAAATTCTCCAAGTTAGAGGAGATATGTAAAATAAATTTCGCGGCCATACATTCGAGGAATTGAAACAAAGAGGTCATCGACGTATCAATTACCAGCATTTCGATGATCGCGCAGCTTTGAAATTCAATGCGCGAGCTGATTTCCTCGCGCGGCTCTACGCTTTTAGCGGTAATTACGGCAATTACCACCAGAGAAGACCGTAGATCTTTAGATGTCGTAGAGAGAGAAAGAGAGAGAGGAGTTTCTGCGCGTCGCAACGGCGGTCTTCCGGCCAGCAGAAACCGCGCTACGGATTGAAAGCCAGGGCGGAGATTCGGGAAACGACGCTAGAAGATCGAAAAGGTCATTTTCGCCTCGAAAGTCGAGATAAATGCCGCATGGACGACTCGCCCGAGCAGCGATGAACTTTGACCGATTAGCTTTGTGACAGTTTTACGCGGCTGCGGTTTGATATAATCGTCCTTCGTCACTTTCGGAAGCTGCGCAGGTTGTACAAGATCTAGCACTATAGAATTTTATTGACGACGAATTCTGTGTTGAATTTGGAGAGAATTTTTTTTTTTACCAAAAATTGAATTAATATTTTTAAAAAGCCGAATATTTTGCTAATTAAATATTGCATTAAATTTTTTTATCATTTCTTCATAATCTCTTTGATTGAATTACATTCTATTTTATAAATTATATTCTATATAAGTAAAAATTTAAATTTTCCAACTTTGTTCAAAACCCTTTAATTTTAAATATTTTATTGCATTAACTAGTCGTATATTAACATTGCACTATCAGTTATAAGAGTTATAAAACATTTCTCATAAATGTGTCTAAAAGTGTATAGATATATAAATGAAGAACATTTTGTACATACACACAATGTATATATTCAGTTAAAGTATATATTTATCTTCATATAAAACTATTATTTTATTCAGTTACGATGCACCAAGGTGTCGATACATTTTTCAAGCTCGACTGCATAGATATCTTTACAGCTTTTTTTCACGTCTTTTATATCGAGTATCGTTAACTCGTGCGACATGATATCGTTAGTTGGATCAATGACCGTAGTCTCAGGTCTTTTCTGTGTCGACAGGTCGAAGTAAATATCCTTGATATGACCCTCTCATATTTTAACGAGAAATCTTTTCGAATAAAATCGTCCAATCATACAGAACTTTAACGGTGGAATATAGCAGAGATTTATGTGTATTGCATCGAGATCTCTAATGGTTCGAAAAGGAGATTTATAAGATCTATAAAGTATATAATTGCTCAATATATAAAGATTGATTAGCTACTTGGTTTTCCCATAAAACTCTGCTTTAGTTATTTGCACAGATATTGCTCTAATATAAATTTTTTTGTATTATTTATTAGTTTATTATGCGGTTTAAAAATTATTTTCTTCTTATTTCTTGCTTTTCCTCCCTGTTTATTATATATTTTTAAAATAATATTTACTGTAAAACTCGTTATATTTCTAGCGATTATTTTTTTTCCATTAAAATTTCCTTATTGTGAGAATACGTTTGTTTTGTTTGTTAGAATTAAATCAATTTTACGCGTCGATATAAATTCCAGTATCTCCTACGGAAACGTCTCCATTTATCTGGTCGGCGACCCGAGCGAGCGCAATAAAATTCGTTTTCTCACACATACTCTCTCTCTCTCTCTCTCCCCTGATCTTTTTGCGAAACTTAACTCTTCGCGCAGCTCCACTAACGCATGCAAATCTCGCGGGGCCAGTGAATTAATGCATTACGTAACGTTGGCGGGATGCCAGGTGTGAGACACCGCCGCGTCGTGCTGCAGATTTAACACAAACGCGCGGACTCAATGGCCGGCTCGATAAAATTCTATTAAATCGCGTCGACCGAAGAAGACGACCACGCTCGTCCCAGGGGGTTAAATTCCAAAGAAGCCAGCTGGAAAAATTATTACATCGTATAATCGAGAGTGTCGCGAAACAATGTGGTGAGAGATAGTAAAGGCTAGTATAATCAACGTATATATACGTTAAGTCTTTTTTCTTTGTCTGTAGAGTGCTTGAAAATCGGAGTCCTTTCGTATATTTTATAATATACACTGAACAAAAATTGTTAACTTGATTAAACCTTTCAATTAAATATTATTTTGTTAATTGAACATATAAACATATTTAAATTAAATCTACAAAACGTATATTTGACTTAAATACTAATATATATTCAATTAACAAAATAGTATAATTTAGTTAAAAGATTTAATGAAATTAACAATTTTTTGTAGTGTACATACATCATTTTCCAGAGTTTCTAATTTTTCCTCAATGAAAATATTGAGATACATTTAATTGTTGAGTAATCGATTTTCTTAATGGAGAAGAAGTTTTATGATTAATCAATATATATATGACTTTGTAATGAGAACCTGTAACTGTTGCGATATCAGTTAACAGTAATTGCAGTTTTCGTAGTACATATTTTTCCATGATCTATATCCCGTAGTTGTAATTTAGAAAAGGTCAATGAATCACTAAGCGCAAGAGTAAATGGAAGCTGTCGGTGCAACTGACGCTGAAAATTGCCTGCAGCGTTAATTAAGTTTAAACAGCTAAATTTTCATTTTCTTTTACTAAACCCGGAACAACGCCATTTAGGAAAATAACGATGACAAGTCAATTAAGAGTACTTAATTATACGGTCGGTCGATAACTATTATTTTAGATCTCTCTTATACTGACTGACTGTTCTCTTCGATTCTCATCCATTCTCTTATTTTATTTATCACGTGAATTATCGTAATATGAAAAATAAATTTCAAACTGCACAATATTATTGCGTAATTATTCGTAACAATATATGTATATAACAAGGCCGCATGAACGCTCAAGGATTTTTCTTCCTCGATGAAGCAAGCCGACGATCTATAAAGTATAGAAGTAGATAACGCAGCGTGTGGTCAGACACATTTCCGCGCGCACCCTACTAAACTCTTTTTCCACTACTTCACCTGAACGAATGAGCCGAAAAAAATGAATGTAACGAATCGCGTGCGTCGGAAAACCCTCGTAGATTTTTCGTCCGCGAGTTATGCGGCTCTGAATTCGATCAGATAGCACCGTCATTTCACGACGTCGCGATTTCTCAGCTGTTCGCTCCGTCAAACTCATCGTCAACCACGGAACGCCGGAAATTGGTCGTCGTCTCGTCCCGCGATTATCCGAGGAATTTCAAGCACGCACAGTCGGAGAGATGGCGACGGTTTTACGCACACGATTAATTGTAAAGCGCGTATTCCCGTCCATTCACATTATTATTCGAGATTGATTAATAATTCATCCCGTTGCTATCATCGAGCGTTACGCGTCTGTCCGATAAACCCTATTGTCCGATTTTACATGATGCAATTCGCTTTGTTTGAATGAAAAGTTGAGCCTTCAGTGAACGAATTTAACACAAACACTATACGCGAATCTAGTCATATTGTGTGTACGAATGTGCAGATACAAAACGCAAATCGAATCCAATCAAACTCTTGTCAAATCGAAAGGAGTGGAGAAAGAAAAGAGAGAATGAGAGTTTGACATCTGCAAAATCAAATAATTGAAAAATTGTTGAATACTTGGGATTGATATCGATAATTCTAGTTCCAAAGAAAGCAGATGAAAAAAAAGAGTAATTAATTCAAAATAATATAAGAGAAAAAATCGTAATCTTCGTAGACCTTATCGTATTTCTGATATGAAACATTGAAAATACTTCTCGGACATTGTCGAACATCGGGAGTCTCGTTATGTTGGAAATGCGATACCCCGACGAAGGTCATAGTTAACTGCGTTTCTGCCGTTAATTCTTTTAATTCAGGGTTATGGGAATCAACATGCGGGAGGTAAACACAGACGTCATGACTCATCGTCATCGTTGACGCAATAAATTCAAGCTTCAATAAATACCGGCAAATACAGGATTGGGTTGTTATTTAATTCAATTAATCATAATGTAAGGTATTGTTTGTGGATAATATGTTAAATCGCTCATATATGTATGTATACTTTTTCGTGACACAAATCGCGTATTGTAAATATTCATGGTATAGAAAAGCGAGCATAATATCGCTGCAAAGAACATCTTTTATTTTTAAAATTTTTCTTTCGTACGTGAGCATATTTGCTAGAAAAATTAGCTATAAATTAATTAAAGAAATTACATGCCATAATTTTCCATGTAGGTATAGCTGAAATTGTTCATAATTATTATCCTTTTGTGTGAATTTGATTATAGACATCGTAATTATAATTAACTCTCAAACACACAATAGATTATGATATGTGTGTGTGCAATTTATTATAAATATTTCGTTTTGAAGAACTTTTTTTAAAATTTATATGTCAGTCTCTTTGTATATATAAAACATAATTCAAGAAGACTTGTAACACCAGAAGCCATATAGCTTCAAACAGCTGAGTACATGCTATGCCATAGAGAATGACCTGCGAATGCACAACTTTGAGTCTAGACTATTTCGCGATGCATTTAAATATTTTTTTATTATTTGCATACTTTTCGTGATATGTCTTATTATTCAATATTCTTTATTTGAATGTTACTTTAAGTTACATTACAGTAAACCATTTTAAATTTGGTAAGGAATAATTCTATCGAGAAAATTTACTAGATGCGTAAATAATAAATAGACTCGACAATTTGACCAACACACAATTTGAACAACGTTTAAATAAGGTCGCGTGAAATGTAGCACATTTACGTATGTTGAAGAAAATTTCGTAATAGAGAAAGAAATATACGAATCCCCTTGAACGCAACAGCGGATTCACGGTGTGTCGTGTTTAATCCATGCTATAAATAGCAAGTCGGTAGCCGAGCTGATATATATTTGTATTACGAGAACACGAATATTTCTGCGATACATAGAAAATCTATAAACCGATATTCATGCATATATTCATACATGTTGTCATATCACATATGACAAGGAGAAATTATTGATTATCTTAATCATTTTTGTCTTCTTATTACTAATTTTTAAAGAAAAAGAAAATTTCTTAGAAATAATTCATAGATAAAATGCAATAGTACTGGAGAAAATAGAGTGTACTGATTTTTCCTGCAAAGTGCATTATTCTGTTTTCGAAAATTAAATCAATATTCTGATGCATCAATATTCTCCTTTATCGAATTTGTTTGTTTTTTTACGTCTCCTGCAAAAGTTTTACTTCGATCGCTTAAATTTTCTTTTCTAGAAGTAGAAGTGCAAAATTTCTCACTCGTAATCAATTTTGAACTCCGCGCAAATAAAACGAAGGTTTCTCGTGTTTTATTTTTAATCAAATTATTATAAAAATTTTTATAATAAAATTTTAAAATGTATTTTATTAATATAAATTAATAATATCAAGCCGCGAAGCAATAGAATATGTATTGTATATTATTGTTACACATTGCAATTTTATTAAATTATTATTTTATCAAATGTCATGTAAACGCATTACATATCATGGTAATCATAGGCCAATATGGTTTTGGAAGACTTTTATAAGTTTCTCTGTAATTAATTAATATTTACCACAATAAAAAAATTAATATGTACATAATCAATTTTACTATGTACATAGTAAAATCAATCGAACATATTTTATATCTTATTGTAATAGATATTAATATTTTTATTGTGATAAATATTAATCAGAAAACTAATAAAATTCTTCCAATACAACATTGTCTCACGATTACTATGATTTACAGGACAAATTCTAATAAAAAATTTTCTGTGTATAAAAGCATTTGATTAAATTTTATTATGTCAAAATTTTATTTTTTGTATGTATAGTTATTACGGATAAACCCACAAACATATTAATCGTTTATAAATAATGCACCATCAATTTACGATACATTGCGATAATTTTATAAAATGAAATGTGTGCAATACGGGTATACTAAAGAGAGATTGTCGATTATTTCAGTGGTCCTACAGATCGATAACTCCAATGAGGCACACCGGAAGTTCACGAGATTCCTCATATCCGCTGAGGCCGACAGTGCAAATGAGACGGCCGATGCCGGCATTTTCGATCTACAAGATGATACATTGACAAAATTTGCGGATAATTGTGCGAACGCGGTCGTTGAAACATCAAAAGTATCAAAGGAAGAAATATCGGTTATTTGGACAAGTCCTGCCGAAGGTAGCGGTTGCATTCTAATCAGGTGAAGCAATACTCTTGCATGTTAATACAATGTATAAAACGACAAGGATAATATATATCCTGCGAGATTAATATTAATTAAAGCACAAATTATATATCTATACTATTAATTATATATATAATATTATTAATATCTTTATATCTGCTTTAAAATAATATTTTATTGAATTAAAAATTCGAATTTGCAAAGAAACAAAAAAAAGGATATTTGTTTATATTTGCATGCAGATTATATTTAGCCTCTATTTTTTTTCTATGGCAGAGCGACGGTGGTGGAAACTCTAGATACATGGTACATGGATGACTCAAACTTAGTACTTACTATGTGCCAAGATTCAAAAGCGGAAGCCGATCGTGAGGATCCGGTCTTAGATCAATGTGGCGCCTGTGACGAGGCAAAGTACGAAGTCACCTTTGAAGGATTGTGGTCGCGAAATACCCATCCCAAAGTAATTAAAACAGAAAGTAATTAAGAACGAATGGATAAATAAAAATAATTCTGACTAATTAATATTTCGAGCTCAAGTGAAAAATAAAATTTGTGTAGTGCTCTCGTGGAATACTCGAAATCGCGAAACAATCGATCGTTTAAAGAGCTTTCATATAATCGATGCATTCGCGGAATTTATGATTGTATCGTTCATCCATCGTTACATATTTTTCTTCTTACAGGACTTTCCGAGTAAAAATTGGTTGATTCGCTTTTCGGATTTAATTGGAGCATCACATACCAACGATTATAGATTTTGGCAATATAGTAGCAATGGCATGCCACATGCACACGCATCATACATGGCTAGTATCGGATTGCGGCAAGTGGCTGAGATTGGAGGAACACGAAAACTAGAGTCCGAATTGAAGGACCGGGTAAGAAATATTTATATTCAACAGTTAGATGAAAACTCTGTTAAACTTTTAATCCAGTTTATCATTTTCCTGGAAGGAATATTAGATATAAGTATAATTAAACTTAATTGTCACTGAACAAAATTTGTTAATTTGACTAAATCGTTCAATTAAATATTATTTTGTTAATTGAACATATAGAAATATTTAAATTAAATATAACATATGAAATATAACAAAACATATATTTGACTTAAATACTAATATATTCAATTAACAAAATAGTAACTTAGTTGAACGGTTTAGTCAAGTTAACAAATTTATTTTCAGTGTTTTTGTTCATCTCTTTTATATCATAATTTAATTAATTCGTTATTTAAAATATATTGATGAGATTTAAATATATCCAGTCGAGTAAGTTTCACTAAAATGAGAAAGATATAGTTGTTAGATTAATTAAATTATAAATAATTAGAAAATATCAAGTGAAAAAATAAGTATTATATAGATTCGCAACAATTTAAGAAATTTCAAAACTCCTAAGGAAATTAATTTTCGTAGGTATATATATATTCATTAAGTTATATAAAAATATAATTACAATATAAATACAGATACGTAAATGATCAGTAGACATTAGAAATGTATTGCTTGTAGAGTGAACACATTAGGACTATAATAAAAGCAAGAGGAATAAGTTATCCCAATGTGACGGGTAAAACTTTTGCTGTTTTTCGTGTGGATCGCAAACATCATTTAATTTCTTTGGTTTCAAAGATCGGTAAGATTATTTAAAGGAGTATTAAATTAGACTTATTTAAATCTTAAAGTAGAAATGCTACTGCTTCTTTCAGTATTTCAGATTTAAATGGAGAAATAATTCTTTCCTTTTTATCACAATAAACTATTTTTTATTGTAGATCCTTCGCCGGATTGGATTGTTGGTGTTTCTGGTCTCGAATTATGCTTGCCTAATGGTTCTTGGACACTTCATAAGGAACTTAATTTGTATCCATATGATGCTGGCACCGATGATGGTATTACATATTTAGTAAGCAAATAAATATATCTTTTTATTTTTCATCATTTATAACTCAAGATTGACATTTTTGTTTCGATATTTTTATTTAAAAAAAAATCGATTCAAAAATCGATGCAGATCAAAAGAAATTGATCCAAGAAGTATGCTATACTTATCCATTAATCACGATATAATCAAATATAATGGTATTGTGATCGTTCTTCTTTTTTAGTTCTCTTTTGAAATATTTCACTATTCTATGTATAATTTGCGTATCAATTCTCGATTTATTTTTTTTCGCTACAACATTTTCTATGTTACGTGAATTTCGCACCGGTGATTCGACGAGATGACCGATAAAAATTTCATGTCCACTTACGCTTGCGCGACTTGGTGTGTTTCGTTATACAGGGTGTAATAAATTTTCAACTCTCCCTAAATCAATGTCTGTATATATTTCACCGAACGGGTGCAAGTTGTACAGGTCGTTCAAAATAAAAAAATCTCATCACCTGTCAACATCGAAGGATCGTATAATAATCTCTAAGAGTACGGGAGAAGTGCCTGATTCTATCAGTTCCCAATCTCGATCGTAAGCTGGAATCGCTGACGTCGTTGAATTTTACGCTTCTTCGGCATTCTTCCAACAAGAGAATTTACCTCGTTTTGTATAACCTTTTCTATTTGAAAAGTATCTTTTAAAAAACGTTATGTTTTCACGCGTTATTTATGAGAAATTTTTAATCATAACAGATTTATTCATTATATTATGGCGCATCTGTTGCGCATCGTAATATCTTGAAAAATACAGAGAAATACGAGAAATAATAAATGATAGTAAATTCAATTAGATGGAATATATTTAATAATGGGTGTATTTACAAAATACTTGATTACTTTGTTTCATTATTATTTTAATTAGTCGCCAGATTCACCGACGGAACCACAGGAACCAATTCGACGTATCACGTCGACATATCCAGACGACTCAAGATCACCCTTTTACGATCAGTCTGGTTTAGATATGAAACCCCTTGCAAAGCTCTACTTGAACAGACAGAGATTGTATGAGAAAACCTGCGACGACGCCAGTGATAGTCTAGCTGATGCAGGTATAGTTCATTCAAATAAAAAGGATGACAAGTATCGCTTTGTTTAGTAGAAGCTACTTTTGTTTCTCAAATGTGTTCGTAGAGAATTATGACAGAGATTAATTATACCACTCGAGAATTTTATGAAGCATTAGCATCTAACCCATAATTTTCTCAGCAATATAAAAAGTGTTTTAAAGCTATAGAATTTAAAATGTTACTTTTAAAAAGCCATAGTAAGAAATTCGTAAACAAGATGCCACAAAATTGAACAATTAAGGCGCAAAAATAACGTTTATTATAAATATCCATGTTAAGATTCCCATAATTTGTCTGCTATTATTTTCTAAATTGTTTGCAAAAGCTTTTAAATAGAATAACAGATTGCATAAGCAATTGTTTCTGCAAAAGATTTTTTCTGTTTAATGCATCTATAAATTGTTCTACATTTATATTTTATTTACAATATATTATTTGGAATTACCATATCATAAATATACATTGCATGATAAATTTACTTTATGTATAATTAAGCATTGTGTGAATCTATTTATTTGCAGAATATAATATTAATTAGTAATGATATAATTCTCGTTTCAAGCGTTTCTTACTATGACATTTATATATATATATATATATTTTTTTTTTCTAAATCCTATATATATAGGATTTAGAAAAAAAGTAATCAATTATTTCGTGTATAGAAGCTTGCAAAACAACATCTTGGGGTGAATGGAGCCCGTGTTCAGTCACTTGTGGCAGAGGCACTCAACTAAAGCAACGTCGTTTTCGCGATGAAGCTGCTGCTGCCGCAAATAAATGTGACACATCTCTTACGGATCGAAGACCATGCTATAACGCAGAAAGCCCGTACTGGTAATGAACGCAAAATAGCGGAATTTTACATCATAACCCTAAGAACCAATTATTTCAACTATCAATTTTTTCAACTTTCCTCTTTTATGATTGCACAGGTTTTATTTCTTTAATATGTTTCCCAAAAAGATCTCTTCTCTTCTTCTCAAAAGTATCTTTTATTTTATATCCTCTCTCACACGCACACACACACACATATGTATACTGAGAAAAAAATGGTTAATCTGACTAAATCTTTTAACTAAATATTATTTTGTTAATTAAACATATAAAAATATTTAATATAAATGTAACATATTAAATCTAACAAAATGTATATTTGACTTAAATCCTAATATATGTTCAATTAACAAAATAATAATTTAGTTGAAAGATTTAGTCAAGTTAACCATTTTTTGTCAGTGTATAATGAAAGAAAATTCTATTATTTTCCCATCTATTAAGAGTGTCAACACTTATTTATTTTTCTCGTACTGTTGACAAAAAAGATTTTCAACTATCTCTGAATATAATAGAGAGAATCTATCGCATAATGACTCGTATTTTATATCATCGCAACATGATGAGGACTTATAATTCACTAGCACCGGTAATGGTCGTCACGATGGTCTATTAGACAGCGAAAAGTGCGAGCTGACCCCGTGGAGTTCATGGAGCTCGTGCTCGTCTACCTGTGGCGAGGGCAGCAAAACGCGATCAAGGAACTTCCGGCATAAGAAGCATCGGAAGCAATGCAAGGCCGTGCCGAACGGGCCACGATTACAGGAGTCGATCGATTGCGAGAATGAACCTTGCGAAAGCGAAGACATGGAAGAGGTAAGGCAACGATTCAATCACTTGAACGGCGATGATGAGGATGAGGACTATGCCGGTGAGAGAGCAGACGGGACCGGAGAGATAATCGAGGAATGGCTGCAGGTATGAAAAGATTCAGGGCTGACAGAAATCGATTTCAGCGACGAAACTGATTCAAATATACTCGATTCCGTGACGCGAATGTATAAATTAAATTTTCTATTATAGCACAATTGTAAAATATAAAAATAAAATATGAGTGAGTCTAGAAAACAAATTTTCATATACATATATTTCATACATATTTTTTAGCATTCTATGATAAAAATTTCTGATCCATATTATTTTTTTTTAGCAAGTTTTTTTCATCTCATTTATCAAAAATTTTTTAAATATTAATAATAAACTTAATATTATTATTTATCTTTATTAAGATTTACAATTATATATATTTGAAGAACAAAAATAATTTAAAAATCTATTTATTTAATTTAATTAAAATCCTTTTATTATCAAATAATTTCATACTCTATCAATTCATTAGAATAATCGCCGTTGAATTTATATTTCCTAGGTTTATTTGGTTGGTAAAATTGAACCCGATCTCTCAATTGCATTTAATTGATATTTATTTCCTGTTTCATTCGAATGTAGAATACATCTGCCAATTTGAATCAGATTCGTCGCAAAGTTTGTTCGTGCTACGACTCTAACTACATTCACGTATTCTATCTAATAGATATCAAGCGAACGTTTCCCTAAAAAAAAATAAATAAAATAAAATAAAGATAAACGATTCGCTCGATATGTATTAAAATGAATTTATCAGCTTTACTAAGTATTAAATCATCAAACACAGCCAGAGCAACAATAGCTTCGCACAAATAATCGATACCTGCACCATTTCTCGTAGATCCATCCACGGCACTGGCATTCTCACGTAAGTTACACAATATCATAAGAAAAGAAACTTGCATTTCAGCGTATGAAAAATTTAATCATGTTTTTTTCATAAAATGGAGAATATCTAAATCAATATTTATTAATTATCTCTATATTACTTACTCACAAAACATTGCTGATATCCTAATGAATGAATATAACGCGTTTTAATTTAGCAACTGCTAATTACCACTATAAGTTGCACATTATTTATGTTAATTCATATACATAATTATTAAGTGATGAATATTACTTATATCATTTACACGCCATTAAATCAATTTATGGTATTGCAAATGTAACATCATTAATAAACAAATAAGTAAACTTTAAAGATCGATATGAAAATTGACAATACATAAGCAAGGATGCAGAAACAAAATTCACATTTATAAAATTTTTTTATATATTATTAGAAGTGCAGTCTCATTATACTAGTAACAGCTAATTCATATTAAAAAAATTTCATGAAGTAAAATTAGATTCACATGAAAATCTGCGCGTTTGGAAGATTTTTCGAACGTAATTTTTCCATCAATTTTTCAATATGCAAATTTTGAGAAATGAAAGAGAATCGATGAGAGAGAAAGAGAATTTCGCTTCTATAAAGTCTCTTGATTAACATCTGTTTTTATCGTGTTAACTGATCAAAATCTAATTTATATTGGCACAGAAATGTCCTGCGGATCGTTATACCGAATGGTCAATATGGTCACCATGCAGTTCTAGCTGCGGGCCCGGTGTCAAATTGCGATCTAGACTGCACAAGGGCATGTACAGCGGTTTAAATAAAGACGACGGTGACAGCCATGAGGAATGCAAGGTCCAGCAGGCGTCATGCGTAGCTGAAATTCCGAGCTGCGACTTCTCGAGAGATGAAGCAGAGAGTACGTAGAAGAGTTAACTTTTTTGGAAGATTATTTAATAATATGGCTTAAAACAAAAAATTATCTTCTCAATTCACAATAAAAAAATTGTATGATATATAAAATTAATAAAAAATATTGTCTTGTATGGAAATATTTTCTTAAAACTTTTAAATTAACAAATCATTTCATTGTATGTCATCTTCAAGCATTCTTCAAGTATAGTATATCTCATCGTCTTATTATCTCTGTGTTATAACTATACAACGAAATTATCATTAATTTATAGAGATCTGTAGCGAACCCATGCAAAAGGGACGTTGTAATTCAAACATATTACGAGCCTATTTTGACAAACAAACCGGTCGCTGCCATTTATTCAGCTACTCCGGATGCGATGGTAATCGGAATAATTTCCCAACTGAACAGGATTGCAATAATGTCTGCGGTAATTTTCAAAGTAAGTTACGCGATCATTCGTTATCGTGCATGCCGTTCGTTCATCGTATTAACAACGCATCATGATAATGTTATTAATTATGAAACTCCGTATACACGCATACCGTTTGAAATTTCCTATCAATTACTATCTGCGAAAGCAACTTTCGTAACCAGATTTGTAACCGCACATTAGAAACTATATACAAGTATGTTTCTCATGTCTCTTACATGTAAGATTTTAATATCAATTACACACTGAAAAAATTATTAACTTGACTAAACCATTTAACTAAATATTATTTTGTTAATTGAAGGTATTTAAATTAAATATAACATATATATAAGTTCAATTGACAAACTAGTAATTTAGTTGAAAGGTTTAGTCAAGTTAACAATGTTTTTCCAATGTAATCGAATATTGATTTTTTTTTACAAAGGTAATTCAAATGGAAAATTTAAGCGATCGATTTAAAAGAGAACGCGCATTTCTTCACAAATAACCATTTATTATACTTTGTACACGCTTACTAACTAATTCAGGAGAATTGAAGGCGAATCTATCAGCAATCATGAAAAATCTTAAGGTGTCCCTTAGCAGCGTTCTCAGCTATCATATTCCCGTGCAGGAGCAGCGTAGTGCAAAAGCGAAGAGAGCTCACGGTGATAATTTGTTTTATGCAAAAGTTACTCGACAATTCCTCTAATAAATAAAAAAAGTAACATTTACAAAGCGAACTTCCATATCACGCTTTTACGGAAAGTAGTTCTTAAAGGAATTTATAAGAATCATTAATTGAGATAAATGAAATGCACGGATATTTCTGCCTCGTTAAAGATCATCTCTGTTCTCTTTCTCACAGTAAAGGAGGATTTTAAAGGCATTCAAACAAGCAGTCAAATAATGGAATCGAGTGAGAACAATAAAGTGGATTGTCAGGTCTCTGAATGGAGTAAATGGTCGCGTTGCGAAAGCTGTCGTGGATACAGTATCAGCACTAGGGGAACGGTATTGTTATATGCTTTTATTCGCATAGACATTTATCGATACTTATCGTACGAAATAAAAATCATGTTTTAACGAGTAATAAATGTTGACAATTAATTTTCTCGATTTATTTGAAATGGATGCATAGGCACTTCATTAAATTAATAATAAAGTGAAAGAATAATATATATCTCATGCATCATGTGATTATCTGACAAGCAGATTCCAGCCCAAGGTGGGGGTAAAGACTGTCCGAAAAAGCTTATCCGGAAAAAGAAATGCCATAAGATTCCCCCATGCTGTGAGTATTAGCATTTTCTTTTAATTTTTTACTATGATATAATTTATCATTATAATATTACGTGTAAACATTTACATCTTACTAAATTATTTTTAAAAGTCTTGTATGTTAAACCGCGGAAAAGAACAAATTTTAAATCGAGTATTTCTTTCTCAGTCTATTCAATATAATTATTGAATATATAAAAAAATAAATTTTATCAGATTATTTTTAATAAACTTTATTATTTGTTTAGCTCTACAAGGTGACGGAATAGGTCGTCGATTTCATCGAGACAAAAATTCTGCAGTCAAGGATGAGAGTAAGTTTTCTATCTCTTTAAATAAAAATATTACGTAAACTTTGGAATTTCTGAATTCGTAGTTTAAAGTCGTATGACTGTTTTAATATAAAAGAATAATATATTTATTCACTATATATTTAGCATTTGAGAACCAAAATATATAATCGATATTAAACGAATATAAGAACTGTGGTCAAATAATTAAAGCATTAAATACATTGGATAAAAATGTTAACTCGATTAAACTTTTTTTTCATCAACTAAATTACTATTTTATTAATTAAACATATATTAGTATTTAAGTCAAATTTACATTTTATTAGATTTAAGATATATTTAAGTTAAATATTTTTATGCTCAATTAATAAAATAATATTTAATTGAAAGGTTCAGTCAAGTTAACAAATTTTTTGCAGTGTACTTGTTGATTTATATTATTGTTGCTTTATATTATATGTGCTTTAATGTTTGATTTGCCCGATAAAATATGAATTTTTGAAAGAGGGTAATCACATAAATTCTGTCCATATTAAGTGTATAATCATCGCTCGCTCTGTGTAAAGTTTCAGTAAATTGTAAAGTGACACCATGGTCAACGTGGTCGAAATGCAGTGCGACCTGCGGCGAGGCATTGCGAACTAGGGTAAGAAGTGTGACGGTGCAACCGCGCGGATCCTGGGCTAAACTCTGTCCGGCTTTGGCGGAATTTAAGAAGTGCCACAGAGTAGATTGTCCGCAGTAACAAACCTGCGTGTTTGCGTTCTATCACTATTCTATATATCGATAAGCATATTATGATTATGATTTGCACGGTGCGCCTGTTTTGAATGTTGGAATTAAGGATAACTTCCTCATTAGACTGATTACTAGTGCAATACACCCTCTCTTTTAAATATAATAATGTAATTAAAATTTCCGAGTGTATGCACGAAGGATAGAAATATAGATCTGTAGCGAAATTATCAGAGAATGAGGAATAACACACTGGACGACAGCAATATTATATCTTACAAAAGTTCGTACATTTTAATAACGAAAGCAACAGAACAGTTAATAAAAAAAACAACAGATAAAATGACAGTCGTATTCGATATTAAAATTATGAATATTTTAGAGATTTTAGAAGAACATCTCAAGATTATCTCAAAACCTATTCTCAACTGCGTTTATGACTTATGTATTAATAAGTAATTATTCCATGAAAAATTAATTAAAAAATTGAATTTTTTTTGGTTTTGAAATAAAAAAAATTAAATGTTTTTTATAGCAAGACAAAAATATAAAAATGGATATAGTTGTGTAAAAGAGAATTCGTTATATTGCGAAATATATCTGAAGTGTGTGTAGCGTGATATATAAACACTTTGAACCAATACTTAACTATAGTACTTAAGAACTGCATTGATTATTTTATATAGAAAAAAATACAAGTCTATTTGTAATGCTTTTGCAAAATGACTGTACTCAAAAGAAAAACGGGTTTATAGACTTGTCCCTACATCGCATAATTACGTTCATTCTCTGTCCTCCAGTGTAATTTACTACGCACAGGAAAATCGTGCCATTTGCGAATTTTTGTGACTCGCGTCGTGTCGATGCTGAATTACTCAATAGTATATTTAATACGATTTTACTTAACACGTGATTTAATAACGCGTTATTTTCCGATAATATTAAGTTAAGGCAAAATGGATTTTGCATTCCAATTGCATCAAATGTGCTTAGAAAAGAACAAATATTAGAAATTTCATAATTATTATACTCTCGTAAAATGTCAAATACTCATATAACTTTTCGTGAAGGCAAATCACTATTATGTCGTTTGACAACTACTTAATACTGCAGCAAAATGATCAAAGCTGTAATATAATATATCTATAGCTGTAATATAATATACCTATAGCTATTATATAATATATAGCGCAGTACACATTACGTCATGTAAGAGTTGTCCCTTTTTAGCATGGATAGAAAAATACGTGAGAACACGAAAAAGACCAATTGTAACAATAACATTTATTTGTACGTACATACGTATATCGTCATATTCGTGGCATTTATTACGCATTGCAGATCTCAATGTAAGACCAAAGTTTGTAATAGTTTCTGTTAAAATAATCGAGAAACCCCATATCTTAAAATATAATTAAATTAAATGCGCCGTAGACATATCAGTAGATAGTAAGCCATTTGTTTAGTGCATATATAATAAAAATAACGGAAAGTTTTATTAATATGAAATTATCTTCATTGACAATAATCGTAGATATGGTACAGGAAAAAGATATTTAAATGTTATTCTTTTGTAAAGCCATTATAATATATTCATAATAAAGTTAATCACTATAAATATATTTATAACAAGTATATACATTATTATATCTTATCCTTTATATGTATACAGAATTTATTCTTTTTTCTCACTGACAATTATGTTAAATTAGTGTGCAACTCATCAAACCTTATCACACGTACGTTATCAATTTTTAATTGTACTAGAGGCCACTAATTTCTTCTTTATTATCTACAGAATTGTCTTTATTCTCACTTAACACAGGATTTATTAAGAGTAAAATAACATTTTTCTTTGATGGCATTCGTTGAACGCTGCCATATTTTTTCACTGCATCCTCTATAACATTTTGTGCCTTAGCCTATACAAATATATAAAATAATTTTTTAAGTTAATTTTCAGCGATATATAATTCGCAATAAAATTCAAGATAGAATTATTTAGAATTTTATTTGAAAAATATATAAAATGCACATATAATATAAATCAAAACAAATATACATTATTAGGACATTTAATACATAAAACTATGGATAGAATGTAGTCTTGAATTTTATTATGAATTATATAAGTAAGTAAAAAGTCTAAAGTAGAGATATTACATTTTCTTTACAATATGAAATAAATTTCTCTACAATGTAAAAAATTACTTTTATATTTGTATATGTGTAATGGAGAATTTATATGTAATAGGAGAAAGAGAATAGCTCTATGAATTTTTATTTGATTTATCAAAAATTTCTTCAAGTTACCTTAACTGCTCTATCCCAGAAAGAAGTGAAAGAGAACTCAAAGGGAACTTACCTCACTGATACCATCCAGGGTGATGACAATCTTAACCTTGTGTTCCTTCTCCAACAGCTTCACCATATTTTTGGTCTTCGTCAATAGGTCGTTCTCGGCGATTTTCGCAGATATGAAGAATATTTTAGTTTCCTTAAATCTCTGCTTGTCTTTGCCATCAGCCTCGACGTTCTCCGTGACGTCCTCCTCCTTGTCAAGGATGCTACTCGTCAGTTTGTAGACCGGTCGTTGCGTCTTACTGTCAAGATCGCTGATCTTGACGAGGACAAATTTGCGACGTTTTGCCAGACGTTGAGCCTCCTCTAGCACGGTCACCGTCATCCTGTCGTCCGGTGACAGCAACGTGATCTTCGGTACCGGCACCGTCTTCGGTCTTTGCTTCTTCTCAGTCACAACGCCGCCGACATCGTCGAATACAGACTTATTGCTAAATGTTCGAGATACGTTCCGTAAGTCACTTGTCACGCAACACTGATTGAAATCCCAGGCGCGGTATACGGCGTCTCGTAAAGCCATCAGTAACCTGGAGGCAGCCATACCTCGGCAGTCTTGGTTTTTCGTTCTGCTAGCGAACGTAACCTATAATTGTTCGCGCCTAACCTCACTTATACGCGGATTCACACGTGTTTGACAGATGTCATATGGTTCATTATTTCACTCAATTTAAAAACAAGAATAAAATATTATCATCATGATATATTCTTACCTTCGAACGTTTATTTACTAAAGTATTATCTTACTAATATTATACTGTTGCAAAGTATATTGAGATCAGTGATGAGTTAAGCAACATGTTCACCGAGAGTAAAAATATTAAGAAAGAAATGCAGATAAATCAGGATGAAGAAGTCTCCTTCAATGTTTCAAGAGATGGTGTAATCTTGAAAACCTTTCTATTAATTACTTGCATCAAGATCCTTCTAATTCCTACTTAGTGAGTGATTTATACTAAATTTATTTATACTAAAATTATTTGTTTTTGTATTAATATAATTGCTGTTTATAATTATTTTTTTAATTTGTAGTCATTCCACCGATTTTGAAGTACATCGCAACTGGCTGGCCATTACATACAATCTACCTGTTAAAGAATGGTATACGAATACACAATCTCCATGGACTCTAGATTATCCACCCTTATTTGCATGGTTTGAGTACTGTCTCAGTCAAGTGGCTGTATTTTTCGATCCAGAGATGGTCAAGCTAGAGAATTTAAATTATGCATCACCGGCTACTGTGTATTTCCAAAGAGCAACTGTCATATTTGCGGATCTTATGCTTGCATATGGAGTGAGAGAGTAAGTACATTCGTGAACAAAAATTCCATAATAATTAGATAAATCTAAAAATCAGTAGAGATACTGCTTGCTTGAAAGATCTAATTTTAAGAAATTTTGTACAATATTACATTTATCTGATCTAAATATTTTCTTGTAGAATAAGTGGAACATTCTGTAAATCTTTGAATGGCCATGTAATTTTTGTATTTCTATCGCTATGTAACATGGGACTGCTGATAGTCGACCATATACATTTTCAATACAATGGCTTTCTACTTGGAATTTTGTTGATATCGATGTCAAAAGTTTCAAAAATTGGAAAAGAGGTAAATTCTGCAATATTCTTTGAAATTTACTTATATAAAAAGCAGTTTGTTTTTAGATGTCGGTGTTGCAAGGTGCTATATGGTTTGCTATTTTACTCAATTTAAAACATTTATATATGTACATAGCACCAGCATATATTGTCTGGCTACTAAAATCATATTGTCTCAATAGTGGCAAATTCTTTAAGCGATTATTTATACTTGGAATTATTGTACTGACTGTTTTAACAGTGTCTTTTGGTCCTTTTATAACTCAATTGGCACAGGTAATATTTTTTAAGTGATATCTCTCTCATTCCTTTTATGCAATTATTATTATGTTTTATATAATTAATTTCACAATTTAATGTCTTTTATATTTCAGGTAATTTCACGTTTATTTCCGTTTAAAAGGGGATTGGTGCATTCGTATTGGGCTGCAAATGGTTGGGCTTTATATATTGGTGCGGAAAAAATACTGTCTGTGATATGGAAACGTTTAGGATGGTTAAAAGATACTAAATCTGCAGTAATGACAGGTGGTTTAGTGCAAGAGCAGAATTTCCTTATATTACCTACGCCAACTCCTATTGTCACGTTTCTTTTGACTTTTTTGGCAATACTTGTAAGTTATCATTTTTATAATAAATTTTACATTATAAATATATATAGTATTGTTGCATTTCGATTTTTTTCTAATATTAAATATATTTCATATATTTTTAAAAATATAAATGTATGGATTCACTAACTGATATCGTATTATTGCAGCCTGCATTATGGTGCCTGCTTTGTAAAAAGTCCTACATGAATTCGAAATATTTCATTAGATGTACTGTATTATGTGCTTTAAGTTCATTCATGTTTGGTTGGCATGTACATGAAAAAGCCATATTAACTGCAATTATACCTTTATGGTAAATACTGAATTTGGAATATAAAATATTATTATTTTATAAAACGTATTTATATTAAGATCTATATTAATATAATTTAATAATGATTATATAATTTTTAGTGTCCTGGCAGCAACAAACAAGAAAGATGCCCGGATATTCATAATTCTGAGCAGTGCTGGATATACTGCTCTTTTGCCATTGTTATATCCTAATAACTTATTTTCATTAAAATTACTGTTATTACTGATACATATGTTCTCATCGATTTTAGGCTTAACTAATCAACACGTTAAACCTCTATTGCGATTACATGAATGGTTATACGTAATACCATTGCCATTAATTACATTTTATGAAGTGGCACTGCATAAATTATTATTCGGCGATAGATTACCATTCTTACCGTTAGCATTTACTTCTATATACTGTGCTATTGGTACGACTTATTGCTGGATATTATATTATTATATATATTTACAAAACAATACTTATGCTGATAAGAAAACAGCAAAAAGCAAATTGAAAGGCCAAATATTAAAAGATAAACAATCTTAGGAGATATAATTACTAATAATTTGTGTGAAAAATTCGTGAGAAAACATATCAATGTAATAATGTAAATATTGCAAACATTTTCAACTAAGCAAATTTTTTTAAATATATATTTTCCTAATGTACAATGTATTATTTTATATCTCAAATTTCTCCTTATATAATTTTATAAAATTTTTGAAAATAAATATTAATATAAGAAATGTTCATATAAAAAAAATCAAATTTTAATATTAATGATATAAATATTGATGTTCTATCTATATAAGCAATTGATATTTTTAAAGTTTCAAGAAGAGTGAAGAGCATAAAGAAACGGTGCAAATCTTGTGAAATGATAGCGAGAAAAGTGTTAGACTCACCTTATTGAAATATATCTTAAAGTATTTTTGAAATGCAAATTTAAAAGTAGCTAGTACCTAACCAGGCTTTTAAAAAGAATAGCAAAACTGCCATGTGTGAAACAAAATTATGACAAAAACCAAACCAAAGTTAAATTCAGAAGCTTTGTTTAGACTCTGAAATGTTTACATTTCGTTTAAATGTATCCTTAAAAATTTGTCTTTCTTGCGTTTTATGCATAAATATTTATTTTAAAAATTTGCATTTATTAAAATAACCCCAAAATTTAATTTATAGATTTATCTATATTTTGTTATTTTTTTCACTTCCTATAAATTCGAGATTATAAAAAATAAATAAATTAAGACTCACCAGCACATGATGCGTAGTAGTTGAGCATACAGCATTGTGATACCTGTAAAAAGATAGAAATATATTTCAATTATATATAAACTCAATATAATTAAGATTTTATGTGTATATATGCATATATATATATATATATATATATATATATATATATAATATATATATATGATATTAATTAATTAATTATTTTTAATATTTAATGTAAAAATTACATAATTTTTTTAAATAGCAGATAAAATAGATTATTAATTATACCTGCTTACTTCACACTAGCTCCATCGTTATTGTCTGATGCCCCCCAGACTCTCCTCCTCCTCTCTTGTTCCTCTGTTATTTCTTGACAAAACATAGCACTCGCGAAAATACTTTGTTAATTATAAACGCAACGCGTAATTAGCAAAATACGATTCCGCGATACTTTCGGTACTCCCGATATATATATATATATATATATATATATATATATTTATACACTTTTTAGGTAAGGGCGGTAAGGGTTTTGTTCGGAGAAAATTGTCGGCAGAATTTCTAAAGAAAAACCCGATCGTCGGGTATTCCGATAATATACGATTAATATGTACTTCTCGCTCTTTACTAAATATTTCCGATTCGACGATTCGCGAGAAAGTTTTAGAGAACAAATTACGATATTGAGATAGAATGGCAGCGCGATCTCGTTGTGGTTGACCTTCACGAATTTTACGTAGATTACGAGTTCAGTTGATAGTGTAACGATACTTCGACACGATGATGCGAAAATGTTGTCGGAGGGACGCGAATGCCCGCTTGAAATACGGTCGACGACGCCGAAAAAATCGGAAAATTTCGACGTCGAAAAATACCTGGTAACTCGATTCCCTCTCGCAGATTCGCGTGCGCGATCTTCCGGAGGAGCGAAGATTACGTGAGATTACGCGAGATTCTCGGCCGACCAGATCAATCTAACGCGTGTGATCGCGATCCGATTTATATGATACGATAATTAATGCAAAAATATTAATTAATATATTCACAGCTCTACCTTCGTAGGCACGACGACAAGCGCGCGAACATTGAATGCAAACGGTGAGAAGTTGCATCAGAGGGCAGCACTCCAGATTGTGCGTTCAGAAATATATTCACTTAGGGCGAAGCGCTCGATCGACCAATCAGGGTAAAGAGATCCTCGGTCTCCGATTGGTCGGTTGAATTCTGAACCTTAGCGGATTTCTAAACGCAACCCTAAAGTTTCTTTCGATGCAATGTGGCGCCATTTAGACGCTGGAGATTTTTAGATATTTCATCCATAAGTAAATTGTTTTATTTGTTAATTGATGTTACGTGTGTTTGTGATATTAATTGACATATTATGTATTTGATGAAACGAGAGCGCATTATTTGAATTATTGTTATGATAAGTGGATTTTGTAGTCTGTTTTGGTTCCTTTAACATGTAAACACACAGATAATTAATATTATGAGATACACATATATAAGCACAAAAATTGAAGTTTTAATTTAAAAACAATATTACAAAATTTAATTTCATAAAAGTATAACAATTTAATATTATACGATTTGTTTAAAGTAAATATAAAAGCAGCATAATTTTGTTTCAGATATATATAAATAAAATAATTGATATTTTTATTTAAATAAATTGCACAAATAGAAACAAAATTTGCATATATTTATATTTTTTATGTATACTATGATATATATATATATATATTATATATTATATTATATATATTGTACACACAGATTATGCTGCAATAATACTGCAGCAACGTAATGTTGCAAGTTGCAATGCAACATTATAAAGACATTGCAGAGATATAAGTGCACAAAATTCCAGCACACTTGTAGCAACATGACATTAATATTTCGGAAATATTGCATGAATCCAAATTCTATAATTTATATATTGTAATATATATAAATTAACTACTGTATTAATTACAGATTTAATATTATATACCTATATATGCAACATTAGTTTATGGTTGCAATAACAATGCATTATTGCAAACTCATAACATATTACAATATTGTTGTAATATTTTGTTGCAATCTTCCAAAAAGCGGACATTTTAACATTGCTGCAATTCAACAGCAATGATGTAGCAAATTTTGCAGTGAATTTGTAATATTGCAATATTGCGGTGAAAGATTATTGTAATGTTTTTGCAATCTATCGGTATGTATATATATATATATATATATATATATATATATATATATATATATATATGATAAGTATCATTAGTACTAGTAATTAAATATTAAAAAAAGAATAACATATGTATGTGTGTGTATACATACATACTTACATAATACTTAACATAAAAATTTCTGGATCTACATTTAAACAGTTAATATATATATATCATACACATTTCATTTTATTAATGCAGGCATTGCAATTATGTAGTCTAGCAGGTTTTAATTTTGAATATTTACATATTAATTTAATGCAAGTTGATATATTTAAATAATATAAAACACTTCATCCAGGATAGAAGAACTGTAACGTATAATTGAAAACTAAATACTATAATATATTACAATATATTTTATTGCAATATATATTTATATATATTATACTTTTTTTAATAACAAGTATTGCAAATTGTAGAGGATATTTTTTATATTTTATTTCATTAATGATTATCATTAATTATCAAAATAAGTTTTTTAACAAAAAAAAACTTATACAAAATTTTTTTTCTAAAAACAGTATAACATTTAAAGAACCCAAATTAACTTATTTTACTACGTGAACTACAAAGTATATATTATAAACACAAATTGTTACTTATATATTAATATAAGCTTTTACAGTTTAAAAATAAAAAGAACAATATATTATATATAAATATTAAAGTATTTCTTTGAACAAGAACAAATAATTCAGAACTGATTCAGTAATTTTTGGATATCGGTAGCAAGTAATGCATTTTTAAAGATAAGTATTTTGCGGATAAATCAACATTTTTTCTTGTACTAAATCACAGTCATACCCACATTCATCAGATTTTTCTTATAATAATTACTAAATAATATAATAGTCATTATAATAATGACACATTATTAACATTAACACAAAATGGACATGGACTGTACTTTGCAATTCTTTCATCAAAAATTGTAAACTTCAAAATTTTCTTGTCTAATTTGCATAATTCTTTCTCCCACGTGTACATGTGGTAATGGTACTGGCATTTTATTGGTCATCTTTATAGGGGTTCTTTATAATTCTTTCTTCCACTTGTAAACGTCGTAAATGGTGCCTAAAATATTATAAAGTAACCATGGATTATATGAAAACAATAAAGAAATAATGTGTAAAAAAATTCATGTAATAAATAACGTCAGTAAGAGTGTTAGCACAATATATACATAATAATTCTTTATTAATGATGTAATTGAAAAGATGGTTTTACATAAAAAAAAAACTGAAGAAGTATGATAGAATAATATTATTAACAATACTTCTTTATATATAATTATTTAATTATTTTTTATTCAATAAATAATTTTTGATATACACATTCTGAATAATATAGTATAGAAAGAAAGAATTATAGATATAAAATTTTGAGAAAATATGGCAGATCATAAAAAAATAATATAGAGATTAGACTTACGAACAAAATTCTTTCATACAATTGAAACATCTAAATACTCTATCCTCAGGTGATGATGTAGATGGAAAGTGACAAAATGGACATGCTATTAAATTATTCAATCCAGCCATTACTTCAGCTAGCCGTTTGTGAAGAAGAATTTTGATATTTGTTGTAGATAGTATTTGCTGAAGTACGGACAGTGGATATTCACTTCCACAATTTAATAGACAATTAATATGTGCCTCGCCTTTTCTTAATATTGATTTTGCATGTTTTTTAATACATTTATTGCAAAATAAATGTTCATTCTTGCACATAAAACAATTTGATGGTATACATTCGTCAGTACAACATTGACAGACTACCAATTCGTTTCTTGCCTAAAAAAAAAAATTTATATCAGAATTACCGAAAATAATTATTTTTTGAAACTTTTTAAAATTTTATTATATTCTTATGTTTACTTTAAGTTTCTCAAACTCCTCTTGATTTTTCAATGACTTGGTTAGATATTTTTTGAGCTCTAATTTATGTTGTATAAAGGCACATTCTTGTAAAAGCAATATATCTTTTGTTAGAATCATATTATGTAATCGTTCAGATTTTTTATCAGGACTCAATGCTTCTAAAGCCTTAACAGTAAGACTTAAGTTATATTGATGCTCACTATATGTATTTAATAATGTAATTACCTGTAAAAAAAATAGTTTTAAATATTATATTATTGTATTCTTATTGTATTTATATAAAATATATATTAAGCAATTACCTTGATTCTACTGAAATAATGCATCAAAAAATCTATTGCATATACATTAAATTTGCACTCTCTATTTGCATTTTCAAAATAAGCAAATGGATCTGGAAATAAATCTAAGAATTGTTGTATATTGAAATTAGTAGTGTATTGTTTTTGTTGTTCTGTAATCTTTTTAGTTAGATATTGAGCTCTTGTTGGATAATCTGGATTGTTTAATTTTGACTGAACAAATTTCTGTATTTTCTCAGGATTTTTATAATTTTCTTCAACTATTCTTCTTAAATATATAGGATTCGCCTCTGGAAATATCATTAATAAATCAGCATAGTAGTTATTCAAATTATAAGTAATATTGGCATTATCTGTCTCTAATAACTCGGCTTCTTTAATAGTTGAATATTTTTGACCATTTTCTAGCAAAAATTCAACTAGATTTTCATATAATTCATATTGCGTACTGTCTGTAAAATACGTTTGACATTGTTGTTTAATGTAAAATTGATCTACATTTGGAAACATAGATATTAATTGGCAATATATTTTATTAGCTCCCTCATTCAATAATATTTCTTGATGTTCAGTGTTTGATGTAGCAATATTTGACACAGAAATACTTGGTGTTGATGTACTTGTAGAAGGTTGTGTCGCATCTATTTCTGTCTTAATTGGTGGCATTGTTAAAATTATATTTGACTGCAATTCCTTATCCTTTGAATAATTTTTTGATATTAATTTCTCCAAATCATCCTTACACATTTTAACATCATTGGACGTATCCAATTGATTTGCTTCCATTATGTCCATTCCCATTTCATCATTTATAAATTGTTTTCTAATTTTTATAGAATGTGTGTCACAAGGCATGCAATTGCAACATACTTTTCGTTTGTTTGCTAATTGAGGACTAATTGAGTTCAGTCTCTCATTCATTTGAGACAAGTCACATAATGCATGTTTGACAGGATTATCTGTTAACTGATTATTGCGTAGTATTTTGTAGATTAAAGAGTACTCGACATTTGAAAAACAAATTCTTAATAAATTCTGCATCTTTATGTAAATTACAAGAAGAACAACAATGCTTTCGATGTCTTCGAGGTGTATCGTTTGAACTTTTACTAGTACTGGGTTTTGGACTTTCCGAGAATTTATTCTCCTCATTCGAGTCGGTGGAAATAGTATCCAAGTTCTCGTTATCAGTATTCATAGTGAAATAATGAATGTAACAATGATGATCGGCGAGAGTAGAAAAAATAGGATCAACTTATATTAACTTTTAAAACTACGCGCTGCGCCATCACTACTTCAACGTTATAGTGTACGTGACGTAACCTATAGTACAGCACATACAAGTGTCAAAAAAAAATTGACACGAGCTGCGATCCACTTGACGCTCCAAATGCTCCGCAGCGTTCGTTTTCTTTTTTCTTTCGATGAGGAAAGAAGGAGAGAAAAATGCTTCGAAGCATTTGTAGCATCAAGTGAATCTGCCTGGATTCACCATATTTGGTCTGATTGGACCTTTCGCCACGCGTTTTCCCGCGGATTTCATTACGATTCTGATATTAGTGATGTGTAATTGTTGCGTTCAATTGTGCATGTTGATTATATTTTTCGATCAGCGTTCTTTCGGAGCACATTTATCGTTCGTGTAATAACACGTCGCAACCGGCTGAACTGTTTGCACTCATCCTATGTACGTAAATAAAGCTGTACATTCCAGTTTTCGTTTAGGTTATGATAGAGCCACTGACAGATCTACAGTTTCTTATTAAAAAAGGAATTTAGAATTGTACATTTTATTTCAGAGTCAAAAAAATGAAAGATACGGATACTTCGATGGAGGATGATTGTGCAGTAGAAACAGTTACGCCTGTGAAGAAGAAAAAAAATGAAACAAGGTTTTTATATTATATTATTAATATAGAGAGAAACTAAGGTGTTGCACAGTATATTATAAAGAAAATATTTAATTAATTACTTATTTTTTTCAGCACAATTGCCATTCCAAATATCAAGTTCCTCTAAATCATTAAACAGTACAAAAAATATGTCTAACAAGAAGAAGCGAAAAGTAATATCACCTTTAATTGGATCTAAAAATTCTAAAGTTATGAAACTTACAATAAAGAAAATTCTGTCCCAAATGTTGTGAAACTGCAAGAGAAAATGTAGAAGAGAAAAAACTTAATAGTAGTGACGATAGTATTGAAATAATATTGGATGAGAAGAAGAAAAACTTGGAGCAAAGTGATCAGGAAGATAGGAAGAATGAAGAAAGTGATACCACATCTAAAAAAGCCTTCTAGGAAAGAATAAGAAATTGGATAGATCTCAACAAAAATCTGGTGCCTTAACTAAGTTTCTCAAAAAGATAGACAAGGAAGTTGAAAGCGATAGTTCAAGTAAATTGAAAAATAAGCAAGATTGCCAAAATACGTTTGTACATGATGAAGGAAATGAAAGCTGTTTAAATGAAAGTTCAAGCACACAGGCAACTGAATCTGCATTACAACATTTATGTCAAGAAAAGGACCAATTACAAGATACCAAGGTTGTTAGTGAAGACGCAGATCATTCTTCCTGCCAAGAACTGGACTGTGATATTACTATTTTATCTTCGGATAATGAAGATCAAAGTGAATTGAACAAATCTACATTGGATGGAAATGAGGAAATAACTAACGAACCTACAACTCCTGTTACTCCAAAAACCAATAAAGTTGCAAACAAGAAAGTTTTAAAACTAACACCAAAGCAATTAGAAAAAAGACAGGAAAGTGCCAGAAGGAAAGAAGAAAAATTAAAATTAAAAGTGGTACATATTTTAATTATTTTACATAGAAGAAATTAAATTATTTTTGTGTACAATTTTTAAGATCATACTCTTTTTAAATATATTAATTTTTAAAAATATATATTTTAAATTAAATTATTAAATATATATATTTATCTTTTTATCTATTTTTTAGGAAAAAGACAAGAAGCGAGAGGAAGAAAAAGCAAATCGACGAAGAGAAAGAGAAGAGAAACAAAAAGAGAAAAAGAAAAAGAAAGAATGGAAAAAGAGCAAAAGAAAAAGGAAAAAGAATTAAAGGAACTTAAGAAACAAATTGAAATCGAGTAAGAGAATATTTAATTATATTTTATAATTTTATTATACTTTTGTTATAGTTTTATTTAAAAATTATGTATATGTTTCTAGACAAAAACAAAAAGAGAAGGAAGCAAAAGAAGAAGAGAAAAAAAAGAAAGAAGAGGAAAAATTAGAACTTCAACGTAAGAAACAGAAGGCAGCTTCAAATTTTGCCAGCTTTTTCGTTTCTAAAAAACAGGAAGTTAAATCAGACGAAGATAGTGTTATTAAAATAAAATATTTTATGCCTTTTGAAATAAAGGCTGATATGAGAATGGCACCGATCTGTCGAAGAAAATTGACTGAACAAGAAAAATTATTATTAGACAAAAAGTACAATTTAGACCTGCAAAAGTCTGAATTATATCTGGCAGATATTAAAAAAATGAAAATTCGTACTTCCTTTAAAACGTGGCCACTTGAAGCGAAGGATGATGTCATTATATTAGGTAAAAATTGTGTTTGTGTGTTATAAAATTATATAAATTTGTTATCTACTAAATATTTGATCTGCTAAGTTTTTGGATTTAATTTGTGTAGATGAAGACAATGATGGCAGTTCCAACATGATACACGACACGCATAATTTGGAAAAGCATCGGCCGAAATTATTGCAGTTTAGCGAAAATCGTCGTCCTCCGTATTGGGGCACATGGCGGAAACGAAGTAACATTATAAATCCTCGGCGACCGTTTGCAAAAGAAAAGGTAAGAATTAATGTTAATTAGTCCAGGATTGTTCTTTATGAACATTTTACAGGCTGGCTTACACAACATTATTTTAAAATATTAACTATTTATTGCTTATTAAAGTAATTAATTATCCACACAAGTAGCTGATTTTAATAATAACCAGTATAAAACAACTTTTCATGAAAGATATTTAAAAAAATATAAGATTTAGATAGAAAATAAGACACAAATATATAATGCATTTGTAGTTAGATTTATTATTACTCTATATACAACGCCGATAAAAGTTTCTCATCGCAATAACATTAACTGCCTTAACTTTAACTAATAAAACTTGCTTGGAATTAATTAAATTGAATTAATCTCTCTTTAAATTTTTAATATAAATTTTCAAATGATCTATTTCAAATAGTATCTTAATTCTTTGAGATTACAAAATATATCTTTCAATATAAAATCCAAGAAATATTAGTTGCCGAAAATGTTAAGAACTATTAGTTTACATCATTTATTCGGCAAGTTATTCCTACATTAACTATTTTTATATAAAGAAACTATTTTTAAGTACTTGTCAATTTATATAAAAGCTATATATAAGTCATAACACAGAATGATAAGTTTTTGCTAGCTTTATTGATTAGGAAAAAATCTAGGAAACGTGAAATCTTAAATTAATCCGTTGGTAAAACGTTTATCTTATCGCCTCGTAGTCCCCTAGCACCATGGAACAAGGGATAGGCGTTTTTTCGGTGCACTTTACGATGTTTGGCTAGATGATCGCTGCGCGCGAATCTCTTCGAGCACATTTCGCAGGGATACGGTTTAATCCCCGAGTGCGATCGTCGATGCCTCGCCAACTCGTCTGATCGACTAAAACGCCATCCGCAACCGGTCCAGGTGCATGCGAACGGCTTCTCGCCGGTGTGCCGCCGTAAATGAGCTTTTAAGTGAGAAGCTTTAGCATAGACCTGAAAAAATGTGTTAAAAATGTTACAAAATGCTATAAATAGTGTTATCATGGAAAAAATTAGCCATCATAATTAAATTTTAGCTGTCTCTAAATGATACATGAAATTTAATTATCATGTTTAGCTATAACTAATGTTTTTTAGTTATAGAATTATTTGTTAAATTATAGCTAAAAAATATTAGTTACCTAAAGCTAAAATTTATGCATGATAACTAAATTTCAGATTGTAATATAGGAACAGTTAAAATTTAGCTGGTGGTTAATTTTTTTCTGTGAAGATAAATTCGTGCCCAAAATGCTCGAGGTAATAGGCATTAATTTTTTAATTTGGAGTTTATCTAACTGAAAACCATAATTGTGAACCGTAAAGAATTTTAATTAAACCATAATTATTTTTAATTTAAATCACAAATCTAAAAGATACATATTGAAATTTAATCTCTTAGATAAAAACCGTAATTATATCAATCATAATTTTTTTTAAATTGTGGATCAATTAAAATTTTTTATGATTAATAATTCTGTTTTTTTTACCTAACAATAAGAGATTAACTTTTAATATGTATTCCGATTATTATGTCAGAATTGACTTAGCATGAAAATAATCAATTAAATATGAATATCACAACGAAAAAGACTTACCTTTACACAGCCTTGATAAGTACATGGAAAGCATCGATCTTCGGCTGCGTTTGCTAAACTACGATTTGTGTAATCGTGCGTTGCTAATGCTGCGGTAGCTGTTGTTGGAATTACAGAATCTTCATCTAACTGATTATTATTATAATCTGCAATCGCAAGATACATATTAATCGATTTTTACATGCAATTATTGAAATGACAATATGTTTTTTTAATACTATACATATTTTTTTAATTATTTTTAGAAAATATGTACACGCGATATCAAGAATATTATAATTACGATGACCATCCATTCCTTATTTCAGAGGACACTCCTTTATTTCAAGTAGCTGTCCTTTAGATTTATTCACTTTTCTACTCAATTTTGTCCTTTATTATTTATTTAGCGTTTTAATGTCTAATGTAGTATTAACATGAGAATTTATACGAAAACAATGAAATCTTTTTACGGAGTCTATTTGTTCTTTATTTTCTCTCAGAAAATATGGTCATCGTAATTATTTATATTGTAGATAGCTTTCTTTTTATACATTCTTTCATAAATTGATTGACAACGTTAAAACTATATTTTCATGTTTTCAATGACATTAATTTATTAGGATTTCTCAGCATAATTTTTATAAGAAATAATCTTTTTGTAGTAATAACGCGTACCTATCGTATTTGTTCCAAATTCATTTTCCAATGCTCGTAAATCGATTCCGAGCACTAGCAACGGTTCTTCGTATTGTGTCGTCTGTTGTGTATTTGGTAAAGGCGGTAAATGCAGAAATCCTTCGCACCCAGCGGTGCATAATGGTGTTCTTTCTGGAAGACCAGAGTCCCAGCTCTTCTCTAGACACCACTCTAGCTCCGAATCTAATTCGCTCAATTCGCTTAAGCAACCTATAATCATTTGATGTATATTTTTTAGAAAAGTTCTATAATTTATAATTAAAAAATGTGCAATTCTGTACATATATTCTCTCTTTTTTTCTCTTTTTTACTACTTAAAATCCATTTGTCTTCGGAGGAATACATGAAGATCTAACAGTAAATATACGGAAAGAAATTAGCTATCATAGCTAAATTTTAGCTGTCCCTATATATTGCAACCTGAAATTCAGCTCTATCATGCCTAAATTTTAACTAGGATAACTAATATTTTTTTGCTATAATTTAACGGAGAATTCTATAGCTAAAAATATTAATTATTATAGCTAAAATTTAGGCATTATAACTAAATTTCGTATGTAATATAGGAACAGCTAAAATTTAGCTGTAGTAAATAATTTTTGTGTATACATGTACATAAACTTTCGAGAAATAATATGTTGCCGAACTATTATATGTACATATACCTGTACATTATTATAAATTATAAAATTATTAAATATTTATATGTAAATGAAAAAAAATGCATACTTGATGACGTAGACGTATTTGTAGTCGACCAATCATTCCAAGATGATTGCAAAGAGCAAGATAAGTCGGTATAACAATCTATTGGATTTGCTGCGTTCAGTTGATCACTATCGTGTGTCCTAAAATCGTTGCTAAGCAGAGTACACGATACTTCGTAATCGCTAGGTAGATTTGTTTTGATCGGCGAAAATAGCTGTCTTTCGACGCTGGTGTCCATTGTCAATCCCAGAGCAGAAAATAATAGTTCATCTGTCATCTGTACAAATAAATTTATTAGCAGATTTTTTTAAATATGACAAACACATACTATTTCCAGACTGTTACTTTCAAATTAATATCGACATATATTAAGTATTACATTTTTTCTAAATAATGAGATAATTTTGTAAGTCATATTTTTAACTTTTTATAAATTTTATTGTTCTTTTTTTTCTAAACGCACGGGAATTATATTACGCAGAACTTATTAGAATACACGTGATAAAGCATGACATTACTGAATACATTGCATATATACTAAGAATTTTCTCTTAGAATTTACCTTGAAAATTATGGTAATTGTAGGACAATATGATATTGGAAGAATTTCTCTCTGATTAATATTTACCACAATAAAAAATATTAATATATACATAGTAAAATTAATCATACATATTTCGATACATATTTTATATCTTATTGTGGTAGATATTAATATTTTTATTGTGGTAAATATTAATCAGAGAAACTTATAGAATTTTTACAATATATTATATTGTGCCACGATTACTAATTTTCGGAGTAAATTTTAAGAAAAAATTCTCTGTATATATATAATTTAATATTTTATTGCAATATGTATTATCTGTCTTTTGTATACTCACATCAAACATTGTAGCTTCCTCAATTATATTTAAAAAATTGTCGAATAAACTTATCAAATATTCAAAATCAATTTCATTCACTTCTTATGTAAATTGGGGACAATAATTTTCAAAATAAATATTTCATGATTTCTCTGAAATATTTACATGAGTTCTCTGAAACTGGATTCAGAATCTATTCCCGATATCATAATATAAGTATTTGTTTATCAATCACCGCATCACACGATTCGCGTGAGCCTAACAAAGCAAACTTTAATGTAATTTAATGTAATTGTTCGTGGTATATTTAAACGTCAAGTTAAAGGTTCACTCGTATTAGACAGTCACGATGTCATACGATTTCCAAGTTGTCTCTTGATAATGAAATGTTTATGTTATAAAGTGTCTTGAGTGTTACATAAGAATTTAATGGCACATTTCTCTTTCATATTTCTTTTGTTAAAAGTGATCGACAAATAAAGAGAAAGGTATCTCGCGATTTCAAAATATCAAAATTTTTACACTGTTGATAAACTGATAATAAATGCACTCTTGAAATCTCGCGCGATGACGGTGTCGCGAAGGAAGACGTATGATTGGAAACGTCGATTTGCGCGTCGCGATCGGTCAGGGGTCGTGTCGAGACTGCAACTGGTGGTCGAATCCTCCAGATGAGAAGACGTCGACAAGAGCGTGTGACGAGAAAGATAGAGAGAAAGAGAAAAAGAGAGTGTGTGGCTCCCCGAGATAAGGATGCTAGCCTGTACCACCCGGTGCCGTCACCACGTCGTTCCCCAGGGAGTCGTGGTCGCACGCGTGCGATCGCGACTCGTTCCAGAACACCATCCTCGACGGCGACTCGTCGTCAGTTTATCTTTCCCCGGGCCGCATAATCGGTAGAGATAGGATTAAGTATTTTGCAACAGTCGCGAAATTCCTAATAACGATCCCTGGTGACGTTTCCTAGATAGAAAAAAAATTAACCACCGTAGCTAAATTTTAGCTGCATCTATATTGCAACCTGAAATTTAGTTATCATGTATCTAAATTTTAACTATGGTAACTAATATTTTTTTAGTCATAGTTTAATGGAGAATTCTGTAGCTAAAAAATATTAGCTCTTTGTTGCGAAATTCCTAATAACGATTCCTGGTGACGTTTCGCAGATAGAAAAAAAAATTAGCCACCATAGCTAAATTTTAACTGCCTCTATATTACAACCTGAAATTTAGTTATCATGTATCTAAATTTTAACTAATATTTTTAATCATAGTTTAATGGGGAATTCTATAACTAAAAATATTAGCTCTCACAGCTAAAGTAGCTAATTTCTGTGTTTGTAAATTTAATGTTGACGACAAGAGATGTCATCAATCACTTTTGAAAGTTTGGAAATTGAAATAGAATGCCAGAATGGACAAAAATAAAAAAATATTCAAAGCCTGAAAGATCAAGTTTTCCCAAAAAGGGACGGACCATAGAAGTAATTATCTTTTAAGTGATCAGGGTAGAAATATGAGCAGAGATAGTTTTTCAACCATTCTCTTCTATATTTTTAGACAATTACACAGTGTGGTTTCTTTTTTTAGATTGAAATATATTTCAATCTCTGTATCTACTTATTCTATCTAATCCAAAATAATCCTTTTTTACGAAAAATATGAAATAGTAATTTTGATGAGTGAATGATACCAGAATTCCATGAAATAAAATAGTACGAAATAAAATAGCATATCGAAACCGATTCGGATTCACGTGTTGAATCGACACATATTGAACTTGATCCCATCCCTACTGGTCGCGCAATTAGCCTGTTTATTTACGGTCCCCCGGGATGCAAATTAATCGCTCGCGCGCCAGCTATCACCGATTTCGTCGGACGAATTAATCGCTATACGGGTTGTTGAAAAAGATAGAGAGAGAAGGACCATCCTCTTCTTCAGGAATGTCTCGAGGATGTCATTGCGCTGTCGTGCATGTGGTTCAATCAAATATATGGTCACTTTCGATTTGTGATGTAAGCCAAGAAACGAGCTGCTGAATCTACTTTCGATCGATCATATGATATCTTGAAATATTCTGGGTTTACGTTGAGGACAAATTTGTAACATAGGACAACTCGTGTTTAGACGATAAATTATCATTGTAATTTACGCAAGAAGTATTGTTTTGTGTATATGTATTGATATACATATATACACACTTTCTGAAATTTAAAATCCGGAGATTTGAACATCACAAACAATTCCAAAATATCTACATGAAAAATGAATATGTGTAGAGTATATATTACTTGCACAGGAGATTTGAAAATTATGTCCTTAATATTTTCAGTTGCGAAATATTTTACATGAATTGATAAGTAGAAATTTAAGAAACATAGAAAAATAATTCATTAAATACAGTTTAACAATTTCTGCAACACAATATGAAATTAAAATTCTAAAACTATCAAAATTATTTTTTTCTATAACATTACAGTTAACATACTTGTCAGTGCTCGTTACTATAATGTTACAGAAAAAAAATGATTATGAAAGTTTTAGAATTTTTTTCAGACATTTTCTTCTACATTGAAACAAATCTCATATACTGTTTGCACATTTGTTTTGTTTTTATGTGAAAATTTCATTGGATTCAGAAGGCATTGAGTGCTAAAATGTAACGGCGATGAGCGTCCGAAATTTACGTCAGTTGTTTTCCGATTACGAAAATGTCTCGGTAATATCGGTCCGTGGAGACACTGACCCGAAACGAATGGAATTTTTTTTTTAATTATACTATTGTCGAGAAGGAGAAAGAACGAAGAGCGCATTTCGTGCGAATAATGTGTCAATGATTTTGTATGCAATGCTGTTTCGCGATGGCTTTGACCAGAGTGCAACTTCGGGGTCTCGATAAAGGTGTCTCATCCGAGCCATTGCCATTAGGAGTTCGATTGCTCGTTTATCAGCGAGGTTGACCTTAGATACAACATTACACATATATTGTATATTGTCGTTCACTTAAAGATTCCAGCTTAATCCGTAATTGGTCGGGAAAACAACATATATAGGTGAGATTAATAACGATATCCGGGATATAAAATCCTTCAGAGACTTCGTTCGCCTTTATTTATCTTTTTAATTCATTCTGAATGGATTCACGACGTGATCTTCAGCATTTGATAAGCGCGAAGAAACATACACAAAGTAGATCTTTACACAGGCAATTTGAAATTAATGTTTTTAATATTCCAAAAATTATTTGCGAAATATTTTACGTGAATTTGATGAGCAGGAGTTTAAAAAACATCATGGAAAATAATCCGATTTACATCCATTAACACAATTTGCTATTAAAACAATGAGTTCAAATGTCTGATGATCTCCTTCTTAAGAATATAGAGATCATGGTTGATACTAATTGTGAGAGTAGATATAAAACGCCATGCTTAAAATATTAAATACAGTGTGAATGGTTTTAAGAGTTAAACGCACAGAAAAAACTTAGCTACCATAACTAAATTTTAGCTTTTTCTATATTGCATCTTAAAATTTAGTTATCATGCCTAAATTTGAGCTATTATTTTTAGCTATAGTTTAGCGGAGAATTTTATAGCTAAAAATATTAGCTATTATAGCTAAAATTTAGGCATGATAACTAAATTTCCTGTATAATATAGGAACAGCTAAAATTTAGCTATAGTAACTAATTTCTTCTTCGTGCTTCCTCATACAGTGCATCTTATTATACGTCAATTTTAAATCGAGTCAATGATATTTTTTTACAAATTCTTAGAGCGGACACATAATTATAATCTTGTTTTATAAGTTAATTAAACTATTACGTAGAAAAAATTTTTTTTACTTTGTACTGATGATAATAATATTAAATATTGCGTGAGAGAGATAATGTACAGAGGACATCTAAGCTTTATAAATTATATTCGATAAATGAAAACATTAATATTTTACACGAACTTATGATAGCTAGTATCATTTATTTTTATGAAAATCCGAAGCCTGTTCGGCTTTAGATTGGGAAGTGGCGCTAAAAGGTATACTTATCAGGGTATACGATGCGTTATGAAAAACAGACCACGGCTTAGTGGCGACACAATGATCCATCGGTGGCCCGATTTATCTGGCAGATTTATTTTATTATCTGGCGGATGCACGAGCAATCCGATATATCTTTGCGAGTGCGCGGATTCGTTGCACTTATGTGTTTAGGGAATAAAAAAAAGTGTGAGAAAAAATTATTCATATATTCTCTGGAAAAAAATTCCGTTTTAATATGATGTTATGTTACATCTTAATTTTGAAGTAGCTGTGTCATAATAAAAGCTAAAAAAATGATCTGCAACATTTTCTGAAAAATGTCTTAATTGTGTTGACTGATTTTAAAAAATAGATATAACGAAGAAAAATATATAATTATAATAAAACATAAAATATATATAATATAATAAATATCTATAACATAATAGTGTAATACAAAGTAACAGAAAAGAAAAGATGGTTAGTTAACAATATTGATCAAAAGTGAAGAAAGAGATATCCTGAAGAGACAGAGATATTCGTAGTTGCATACACATAAATTGACATCTAATCCGCTAAAACGCGCCGCTATCGGATTGATTTCGAGTTTTATTGTGCCGAAGGAGTGATATCCCTCTCATTGACGTTTTCTCTCTCATAGTGACGTATATCCTACGTAAAATTCCACGAATATGCCGTGCTTTCGTAACTCACGTGCGTAATTTTAACCCTTTTTACGTTTTCATTGATTGCTGACTGTATTACAAGATCCTGTCAAACAGATCTATTTGTGATTTTCTCTGAAGATTGGATCAAACTCGAAAATATCTTTTAGATCTCTATCTATATATATATTTACTTCCTTCAATAATAAAAAAATTTTTAATGAAATTAAAAATTGTATTATTGAAAAATTGCTTTAATCAGGTACGTTTTCTAATTTAATTATTTTGTTCTTTAGTTTTATTTGAGGTTCAAATATATAAATTTTATTTTTGTGTATAAAAATATACGAGATCTCAGAACGAATTATATTATGTGCATTAGACCGCAGATGAGATAAATATACACACGTTACAAAATAATACTCTCTCTAACGCTAACGTATATTTTAATTAAAGTATCAGTCGCAAATTGGTGATAGTCCGCGTTTCGTACAAAATTTATGTGTTTGTAGATAACACGCGTGTTTATCTCATGCGAGAGACGCATTTTAAATTCTACGTCACTATGTATAGTGTGAAACGTGTTGTTACACATGTTACACGCGCATCATGTCATATGAAAAATTAAAAATTTAATTGCCCTTATTAAGAGAGTGAATCCTCATTTTTAATATTTAAAAAATATGATCTATTATTGTTCAGCAGTCTAATGACGAGACTTTTTCCAACGTTTAATTATATTCTACACGAAGAGAATTTTCTCTTAAAATTTACCCTGAAAATCATAGTAATCGTGGGAAAATATGGTATTGAAAGAATTTTATGAGTTTCTCTGTGATTAATCTTTACCACAATAAAAATATTAATATGTACATAATAAATTTGACTATGTACATAGTAAAATTAATTGAACATATTATCTTATTGTGGTAGATATTAGTATCTTTATTGTAGTAAATATTAATTAAAGAAATTTTTATAAAATTCTTCCAATATCATATTGTCCCATGATTATCATGATTTTCAGGGTTAATTTTAAAAGAAAATTCTCTCTGTGTGCATTTCCAACGTTTATTATATTCTGTATTTATATTCTCTTAAAGTATATATGTATATACTTTAATTTTCTCAAACTTTTTATCCCCTTGATTTTCTCTTTGACCGTTTGTCGTTTTGCAGTTGAGATTCGTTATTCACGAATCATTCTGCTTTATTTGAATGTTTTTTAAGATCTAAGATCATAATTTCTAAGAACATTCGTCATTATGTCGATCGTAATTTCTTCGCTCTAGACGCATGGGATAGTTACCTTTTAATTTCATTTAGATTTCATTTATATTTATTTTATTTATATCTTTAACTTAAAAAATTTTTTTAAATCTTTTTGTTCAGTAGTCTAAATGACGAGACTTTTTCCAACGTTTAATAACAATTCCAGAAATAATTTAATGATATTCTCAGATTTTCAAAGATAAATATAAAAAAAAACTATATTGATTAATTCTCAAATGAGATCAGTACCTACTTCCTCTCTTGAAACACCTCTCTTGATTTTTTTTTTCTTACATACCCTCTATCGAACCGCAATTTTATAAGCGCGTATTTGTAAGTGGATGCATATCTCGCATTAGAATTATGAGACTAATCACGTTTTACGCTGATGACAGTTCACGAGGAGCAGCGGTCTCCAATTTCCATACAAAGAGCGGCCGCGTCACGCTAACTCGGTAACGAAGTGCAGGTCTAGCCGAATATCCGGGAAATAAATCAGTTCGATTGCCGGGCCTCCTAATCTGCAGTGTATACCGAACGAGGAGCACCGGCCGTAATCTTAATGGAGCATAAAACAGCCATTACAGATGGCCCGCTGGGCGACAACACGCTGTAAATAATGTACGATACTTCGCGGCATGCATCGACGCAACGTTAAACGCATCCATCGCACCCTCAGGCTTATAACTGCGCTTCCCTTCTCGAGCATGCGTTGCATCCTTTCAATTTTGTGCATGCATACGAGCGGAGAATGTGGAACACTTTGGTGTTATGCAGAAGATCTGTGTTTCGGCTTTTTCACACCTCTAATCAGGATAATTGTGACAGCTGAATTCATTCCAAAATGATACAAATATTGTTCATTATGTAAAATTATCTTGAAATGTGACAATTCATTTACTGGTTCTCACAGTAAAACTGGAAAATAATGACTAAATTCTTTGGAAGCTTCTGAAAAATATTTACGGTGTTCTCACACAATTATTCTAATTATATTTATAAAAAAAATTTTATACGTGCTTTATGTTATATAGTTTGCTTGCCTAATTTTGCTGCAAGCAGATCTTTGCAAAGAATATTGTGTACAAGAATTGCGTTTTATGTTTATAATTAAAATTCAGTATGATGTGTCATCTTTTTCACAGTTTTAAAAATTTTTAATGTTAGAGATTTTAAGTATCAAATTTAAATTTTGTTGAAGAGTATATAGAATTTATCCTTTTTTTCAATCACTTGTAATTTGAAGAATTATTGATATCTATATTTTTATACATAGAAAAAATAATTCACAAAGATCCGTCAAAAGAAAGTAGTTGAGAATAAAATTACGTTTTATGTTTACGATTAAAATTCAGTATAATGTGTCATCTTTTTCGCAGTTTAAAAATTTTTAACGTTAGAGATTTTAAGTATCAAATTTAAATTTTGTTGAAGAGTATATAGAATTTATCCTTTTGTTCAGTCACTTGTAATTTAAAGAATTATTGATATCTATATTTTTATACATAGAAAAAATGATTCAAGGATCCGTAAAAAGAAAGTGATTGAGATCTGGGACGGCTCGTATTCTTTGATAATAAATTACATGCTTCACGAGACGTCATACGTACCTTCGTATTGCTGCCAAAAGCTGCTTGAATGCACACTCTTTCTTCTTCCCTTTTTTTATTATTAACGAAGAGAGCCGGCGATTGTTTTTGTGTTATATTCGTGTCAGCGACGAGTGTATCAATCGCCTGTGAGATTACGTTTCTTCCCGATAATAAATTAATGTCTCAAGAAGAATCTTGTAATTGATGCTCACGTAGGGATGAAATCGACGTTGATTTATCGAACAAAGAATATCTCGGCGCAAAGAGAAAAGAGGGAGAGAGAATTTATCGACTTTTTGGCGGGGGAAGAGGGAGATAGAGAGTACATACACTTCCGCGATACGTTTTATTAGTGTTTTGAATTAATTGATTTCAATTATATGCCAGGAATTATCGCGCTTCGTTGAACGTGCGTCACGACTACTGTCACGCGAAAGAAATAATGCGCGCGCGATTAATTTAACAATAAGTCGTCGTCGATACGTTCGGTTCATCCCGTCTTTAATTCGAAATATATTTCACGCGTAATGCAAATATGTAAAAGTAAAAAAAAGTTAGAAAAATAGCTACTCGACAGTGACAAGTTACTCGAAAATTCGCGAAGGGACGAAAATATAGCTACTTTTAACAAGCTACCATAGTTGCACACGAATAATGAAATATATTTTATGTATCCCCGAATGCGAAAATATATATTTCCGAACTTTATGCTTCTCAATGACATGTAAGAATTTTTGAAAACTGTTATTTCGAGGAACAAGCGACTTAATGCGCGATTGTATTCGATTCTTCGCATCCGATTGTAGCTGCGTAGAAATAAAAAATCAAACGTGTCTATTAACACTTCACTAGGAGCACCATAAAAAGAAGAGAGAGTTGAATTGACATATTGATAGTAACTATGGTCACTCCATGACTAATTGTAAGAGAATCCAGAATGTGCGGACCAGCACGTTGGAGATGGTTGCAAAGCAGATATCGCTCAAGGAAGTTGCTTTATCAACGTCCTGCTTATTGATAATGAGAGAGTTTAAAGCCGCGGTTAAAACTAAAAAACAAAGTTTAATTTGTTAGAACTTATGATATGAGATTGTGATCAAGAGATACCGCCGGAAACAGAAAGGAGGGAAATCTTCGAAAATTTTTTCAAAAAAACATCTATAAAAAGCATTTATTAGAAATATGTGATTTACAAATTTGTTAATCCTTATTTATTAAAATCTAGAATAATTTATAGTATGTTGCATATAATTAGGAAAGTTTTATCTAAAATTAGGAAGATTATTCTATATGAAAAAATAAATTAAAAATATAGTGCAGGACCTTTTTTATATAAAGTATTTTATTAGCGAGAGTTAAAGATAATTCAAATCAAATTTGTTTAAATATTTGAAAAATAAATTAAACAACATTCCGTACATTTTACGAATGTCTGCTATATATATTTTATTTTTCAGAATCTGTTTGATTACGAAATCGATTCTGATGATGAATGGGAAGAAGAAGAGCCTGGTGAATCTCTCAAAGGATCTGACGATGAGAAGGACGAAGAAAATCCGGAAGAAAACGAATACGATGTAGACAATGAGTTTATGGTGCCTCACGGGTAAGTCATGAATGATTTAAATATATCGAGATTATTAATTAAACATTGAATAAGATGTATTTCAAAAAAATATTACTTATAATATTAATATTTTTTATTTTTCTGTGTCATAAATAATTTTTTAAACAATCGAAATAATTGCTAAATTACAATTTGCCAAAATTTGTTGTTTATTGATTTTATTTATAAAGAAATTACAAAAATGGATATTGTAATTTTTTATAAAAAGCATTTTTAAGAAATTAGTCTATCAAAAAATTAAGAAACAAGAAGATTAATTTTATTTATTTTGATCTACATATTTCGAACGCAATTTTAAACTCTAAAATAACTTCTTGAATTTATATCTTCTTTTCTCAAATATTCCTAGGCATATTTATATATAAATTAAAAATATATTATTTTGTAATCTAGATATTTGTCTGACGAAGAAGCACAAGCTGATGAGGAGGAAGTGGAGGATATGGTAAGTGTATGATAATGATAACACGCTATTCTTGTGTTAAGTTTTACGTTGGAGATAAATGTTAAGCGTTTACTTTTGTTACAGTCACCGCAAACACAGAAGATGAAATTAAAGATATTGGGAGAACAATTCGAAGCCGAAAGAAATACAAAGACGTACAAACTTAACCGAAAATAATCGGATGCATCTGGCAAGAATCCGACAATTCAATTCCGGAATCTGGTAAGGATATTTTTTAAATAAATATATATATATATATATAATTTTATCTGAGTACATTATTTATAATTTGTGTTTGTTATAATTATTTTTAATTACAAATTTAAACTTGTTTTAGTTTCTACAAACGTCAAAGAGTTTTTAATGGCACGGCAAGCTTGGGTCAACAATATTCCGATAATATTACCATCATCGACCTCACATGAGGAGGATAGCTTGGCTTGCGCAGAAAACAGAACATCGACTCATCAATCTGGGAGAGGTCCAAAGAAAACCAAGTTTCCGAATGAAGCTTTGCCCGATCTGATTCGATTGTTGCATGGAAACACATACGGCAGACACTTTCTTATGAAAGAGTTCATAACATTCTGGAGCAGAAATGGTGGAAATCAGCTCTCGAAAGTTAGCGTGTTATCGAAGATCAATGAAGTCGCTAACAGGATTGCATGTCCTGAAGAAGGACCGATGCATCTTAAATCCTGTTGGTACGTCTCCGAAGACATCCGAAAACAATATCTCCCTGACAATAAGTTATCATTGCCAAATAGTTGGACATATATCTTGACACCGAATCGAAAGGGTGACACACTAGACGTTGCAATCGACAAGGCAGAAAAAGAAGAGAAAGAGAAGGAAAAAGAAAAGAAACACATACCGCTCATTACTCAATTCACTAAGAAAATCACGCAAGAGGAGATGAAGAAACAATTAACGAAACCTGAGCAGGAGGAAACGAAAAAACAATTGATAGTGAAACCTGATCAGATTTCTGTACTGCCAAAATTACCTCCGCTACAGAGACCACCTAAACGAGCGATTTTAATCTCTGTCGGTAGAGGGGAACAATTTCCGGAAAAATCTCGAGAGAATATGTTAGCTAAATTCATCGGTCTTAATAAAAGGAAAGAAGAGGAAACATCGAGCAGTGAAAAAATGATTGTCGATGATGACGTTTTAATCGTGGAAAATGTGAATAAAGTAGATTGAAAGAGTAATAAATCCTAAATGCAGGAAGAGACTTGAAAGGCAAATATTGATTATTGCGAATTGTTGTAGTAGACAACGAATAATCTACTCGGAAAATAAAATGTAAGTAACAAAGATGATAAATAATTAGACAGTTGATCACAAAAACAAAAAATTTTCTCAGGTAAAAATAATGTGAAAAAATAAGAAAGGGAGGAGAGAAGCGTTTATTTCATAGATGTATTCCATTTATCATTCTATTTCTATATTCTAAAAAATACATTTATTTGTAAAAGACATTTATTTATAATCAATCATCGATATATTAATGATATAGTTTATGAATATTCCTTTATACGTGTACAAAGTATTAATGAATTATTTGTTAACATTGCGTTATATCTTATAATTTGGACATCACGTGATTATTATGCATAATAGGATATATTTTTATAACTCACATATCACTTTGGAATGATAATGTTATAATATTTTAGATACTCTCTTTTAGATATTTTCTACAAGGTTTTATTCATATGACTATTCAATTAAATGAAATACTTTTTACTGATAGAGCTCCTTCATCACTCATGAAAAAAATTGTTTGTAAGAAAGTTGTCATATTATATTTAGGAGATTTAGAAGCTGATGTTAAGAAGGTAAGAATTAATTTTTGCTATTTGTCTTTAAGTTTTATGTAGTATATTTTATTTCTTCAGAAATACAATAGATATTAATTAGTGCGATAACTGCTAGACAATCATGTGGGTTCAATAATTTGCCCGCATAAAATTTTTGTGCCTTTACTCGATGTGATATAAAATTCGTTCTTGTAATTAGATGCGACGAAAGAAGATTGTAGTAAGAAAATACAAAAAGTACAGTTAAAAAAGGATAAAGCTATTGTTTCTTTTCTAATTCAAAATTGTACTTGATAATATATAATTAATTCAAAATCCTGTTTATTTAAGGTTTAAAAATCCTTACACTTTCTTCTAAAATAATGCGACTGAAACACTAGTAGATATATATTTTAATTATTTAACTAAGTTAGTATAGAGTATATTTACTATACAAATATTTATACTACATAATATACGAATCAAACCTGTATTTTAAAATCTACCGCATTGTAATTAGTTTTGTATGAATGGTCATCGCTCTTTTCATTGAACGAGCTTTCACGTTTTTATTAGTACCACATGTGACATTAACATCAGTCAATATATAAAATCCTAATTCTATTTAAGGCAACTACTACCAGCAGAAATATTGAAGTATCGCGCAAATTTTTATTTGCGATAGATAAATCGATTAGATAATTATCGTAGAAACATAGGTGCGCATGATATTATTCGATATATTATCTCTATTTTCGTACTTTATATGTGCAATATAAAAAAAGAAACCAATCTATATGTTAAATTCATCAGTCGAAAGAATCTTCCTCATATTAACACATTTTTTTTTCGTTGTCAGTCCAGATTACACATGAACGGTCACAAATGATATCAACGAACGTGCAAGCGTTAATTATCAATTAAAAAATGTTTTTATAAAGTAATTAAATAATGCTTCTGATATATTTATCCTAAAATAAATGTCTCGCAAAATTGCTTTGCTTGAGAAACCTCGCTTGATTGCTTCCTTCAAAGAATTTATTGAGTTTACTATCGAGTTTTTAACATCCAATTTTGTTCGATTGAAAACTATATAATATGATCAATGATACGTGAGCAAAAAGATTTTCTGACTGATAATAGGATAAGATTCACTTTAAAATAATATTCTAGATGTACAGCAAAATGATCTTCTATATCAGAATTGTATTCCTGTAGATTGAAAATGACAGAATTACATATACATTTATTCTTTGGCACATATACAATTCTATTTTTTATGAGATCTTTGTTGCATGCGTGAGTTAACATTTGCTATAAATAAAATATATTTTATATCTCGACAAGAAAGATCGTTTCCTTTTTTCACCGTCGCAAAAATCAGGTTTTGTCAGGCAAACTAGCGAAATTGTCACGAGGTTCTCAGGCGAGTTTATTTTAGAAACAAAAAATACTCTTAAATACCAGCCAGCTAATTTGGATAAAAATCTGCTTAATTGTGGCTTAATAAATTTATTGAAGTATCTTTTTTTCACCAGATGAGCTTTCCATTGACAAGTGCAAAATCGGACAGATCCGTCACTGCGATTTGCGCGAACAGATCCGCATTTCGGAAGCATCTCGAGGGCAGGTCTACGATTCCGCTCGCGGCAAGAACTCTCCGAGAAGAAAAAGTAATTTCGCCGTTCGGGAAAGGAAGTTTTACAGTCGGTAGTTCGGATCTTCGGATACCTCCCGGGTGTACTGGTGCGCGGCATATGGCCGGAATAACGAAAGGGCGCTTCGCCGAGATTGCGGCAATTATCGAGTCACGTTACGAGATCCGTGTCGTTAAGACCCGTAGAAAACCTCCGAGGGAATCTGCGAGGGAATCACGACCTGCGTACAACACTCGAGAGAAGGAGACCAAGTTTTATATGCGAATTACGCTAATTTGCCTGATTACTTTGCGACCGGTGACGACCTGAGCTGTTCGCGATGCAGTTATTGTAACTTGCCTGAAAAACGCATCGTTATCAGAGATATAAATATCGTCGAGACAATTAATTCCTATTACTAGAGACAAACGTGATTAAATAATATGAAAAGGGCAAAGGAAACAAACACGAATCCAATATAGCAATTATTGTGCAACTGATAGCTAAATTTTTAAGAATTTTAAAGAATTGAATTAATTGAACAATATATTTTTAAATTAATTTAGATTTATAAGTATGCAAAAAAGAAATGTAAATGCAAATATGAGCGTAGTGAATGATAGACAACAGGTTCTGAAAAAAGAACAGTATTTTGTCTCTTGAAATTGAAAATTTTGACAATATATATAAAATATTATTCAAGAAGACTACTGCAAAATTGTTTGTACAGCGTATATTTATTTGTTATATATATATATAGTAAATTATCATCCAGGATATACGCGAGTCTCGGCATATGAAAGTGCATGCCGTAATCTCTCATCAGGTTAATTAAAATTACAACTATTTTCATTCCCCGCGGTATATATCAACGTATAGTGCAGCATTGCCTCGCAAAAGTGCGGTGCATGCATTGTTTTCTCGTGCGTAAGTAATGTCTGTTAATTATTTGACAAAGTGGAAAAACATATCCGGTCGGTCACGAGAGAGAGAGGGAGAAAAAGACGAAAAAAGGAGCATTCTATTTTTCTTTTTTTATGAATATTCATCTATTTAACTATTCTTTTTCCGGGTATTCTTTCTTTCCAATATTTTATTTTATTATTTCCTGCAGAAAGTCTAAAAAGTTGTCGTGGATGATTATATGTATTTCATATAAAATATTTTGAATATATTGAATTACATCTTTACACGGAAAAGGAGAAATACAAGACAAAATATCTTGCTTCGGAACGATTTTTTAAAAATCGGGACAAGAAAATATTTCTTTCTTTTGATTGGTCGATCAAAATATTCGAAGCACACGTGTGTCACGTCGAGTAAAGCGTTCTATGTTAATCGATCTTTTCAATGACCGAAAATAAGTTGGCTGCACTGCGGTGAATTAGCGCGTAAACGCACTTCGCGCCAAGCGGATCGTGGGTACGTATATAATTGATAAAGATTTATATCGCAATACAGCTTCGTGTCTATTATCACTAATCTCATAATCGATAAATATAATAACGAATGCGAATTGTATCTCGAGACTAATCTCGATTGCGTTTAGAAAAGAAATTCGACAATACGAAGCTCTCACATTGTTCATATGCAACAACCTTAAATATTTCCGCGTCGAAATTTAAGAGAATTAAGGGATATTTAAAGCCTGTTGCATGTATCTTGTCACATTATTTTACGAAATACGAAAAGTTTTCATAGAAATACAAGAAGAAAATTCGATATTACCGAAAGTGGCAAGTTTGATATTTATTAGTGCAATTATTTTATTATTTCATGATCTCTAATTATATTTTAACAGTTGGCATACCTGCGGCGACTTACCGCGCATTTTGCGACAGCCCAGTTGGCATCACTGCGACATCCCGCGTAAATATCGTGCATTGCGTCGCGCGGATCGTATTTTCGTATAATTGTAATTGTCGCACGCTGTTCTCTCAAGTATGTGCCACATATAATTAACAAAAGCGCGTAATATATGCGTACCATTAAAATCGGGAGTGCCGTACAAAAAGTCACGTATGAATGTCGGGAGTTTCGCCAAAGTATCGCGCGATTAAAATCGGAAATGCCGTGTGCAGTCGCGTACAATTAAAATCGGGAGTGCCGTATAATTCAAAATGTCGTACGATTATTTTATTTTGCTGATGAATACGCGTGCATGATTGTATTTTCACGAGCGTGTGCAAGTGCCAAAAAAATGCTAAAGAACAAGAAAGGAGGAGGAGGCCCGGGGAGGCATCTGACATCGCCAGAGCTATCATATGGTAAGCAGATTCTAATAAAAACAAATTTATATTTAATTATTATATTAATGTTTATTAAAATAAAGTTTAAAATAAGTTCACATTAAGAATAAATTTAGAATAAAATAAAAAAATAATTTGAGAAAAAAATAAATATGGATATTTTAATACCTAATTTATGCAGAAAAATAAAAAATTATTACATTAAACTTTATTATAATTAGATAACTAATAATGAAAAATATTATTTTATTATATATAATTTTAATATTGTTTATACACAATTTATAATTATTTAACTTTTTAAAAATTAAATTTTATAATATTTTATATAAATTTATTTCTAAAAAAATTATTAAAAAGTTTAATCATTTTTATGACAATTTTATTAAATACATTTTACAGTACGAATAAAAGTTTAATTGCGCATTATTGACTTTTTCAAATATTAATTATTTTGAAATCTATTTTATAAGTATATATAATTTGTATTTTTTATATGTTACAGATCAATGCTTTGTACAATAAAACTCCGCTGTTCCACATCGTATCGGTGAGTGTGCATGCATCTATACATATATAACATTATCTGTATTTGTAGATTGGTCACCAAAAATTAACTAAAGCGCAACTTACAATTAGAAAAAAGAGTTAAGAATTATATATATTAACTTTATATTAAAAAATTTAAGAAAGTTATATGTTAACTTTTGTATTAAAATAACGAATCACATAATTATCTTTAAAAGACTAAAAAATATATACCAAGTAAATAAAAGTATTAAAAATTTTCTTTTTTTTATTCATGTTACATTTACATATTCATGAACATGATTAAAACTTTCTGGTGATTATTTCTGTGTTAAATATATATTAAAATATATAAGTATAATATAAAATATACAAATATTTCACGCATTACACCAAATAACGAATCGTAATTTTATAAAATCATAGTTGTGATATTTTCTTAAATATCCATCGCATATAATTAATAAAAGTATACAAAATGATGTGAATTAAATCGAGAAAATGCCATCTGAAAAATCACAGACGATTAATATCGGAAATTCCGCACAAAGTATCGCACAACTAAGAAGCGCTGTTCGAATTATTTTATTTTGTTAATAAATGCGCGTATGTTGTCGTAATTAATAGTTTTCACGAGTATACGAATAAAAGAGAAGAAAGCTCAGGGAGCAACCTTGTGCTAAGTAGATTATAACTTATTTTATTTATTATTCGTCAAATTATATAATAATTACTCGTTTATCTCTGTGATAACAAATTACTTTACATAATATACATGTTCCTTATCCTTATTCCTTTTATCCTGCGCTGTCCCAAAGAATGTGCAACAAATTTTGTTGTTGTTGCGCGCACATGACCAAGAATAAAAATGATCAAAAATCGTCATATGTGATAAGCAAATATTTATGTCAAATATAGAAAAGAAATAATTAAATATAGAAAGGTAAGTCAATTAGATGGAGAATTCAATTATTTTTCGGAGATCTGTCTTATTTGGAATCTTATTAGCAACAAATACAACGATAATAAATTATGTGAAAATTATGGTAAAGTGGAAATAAGTATACTTATATATTGTTACGTGCTATTATATATTAAGAATTTAATTGAGCAAAGTTCTAATTGTGTAATCTCGAAAGCATCTCGTATTATATATGGAGATAATGATTCGAGTGTCTTGATTATAAATGTGAATTGATAACTACATCGGAGAGAATTTTCTCTTAGAATTTATCCTGAAAATTATGCTAATCGTGGAACAATGTATTGGAAGAATTTTATAAGAGTCTCTGATTAATATTTATCACAATAAAAAATATTAATATATACATAATAAAATTAATCGAACATATTTTATATCTTATTGTGATAGATATTAATATTTTTTATTGTGATAAAAATATTAATGAGAGAAATTCTTATAAAATTCTTCCAATACCATTTAGTATTGTCCCATATGATTATCATGATTTTCAGGGTAAATGCTAAGAGATAATTTTCTCTATGCATAACAAATAATAAATGTTATATGCAAAAGATGGTATTATGATATCAATTTTTAATTTAATCAGACCAGCCGTGCTGAATCTAAACATAAATAAAAAGTTATCAAGATAATCCATTAAATTCACGATTTATGATCGATTATTGACAATTGATAGTGCATAAATTAATAGAACATAGAAATTTCGTTATCCATTAGATTCAAATTGCCCCGCAGATGATGCATCTCGTTATATTCCTAGAAAAAAAAAAATATTCCGATCTACCTTCGACTCTCGCGATTTCGGCGGAAAAGACCTTTTTGTTTCTCGTGTTTCTCGCTCCCGGTATGCGATCTCGCGGATGGCGCGAGAGCGCAGCGAGAAGGAGCTAAGAAGAGGGAGGAGATGGGAAGCACAGAAGCAGAGAGCATGGAAGCGGGAATAAAGTGGAGTAGACCGGAATAGAGTACAAGGTGTATGCCTAGAAGGTATAGAGAGAAAATGGTAGCCAATGGCAGTGCCTCGCCGCGTCGTTGCTACAGTATTGAACGTCTCCTACGTGGGTCCAGATCTCGTCCTCTCTCTCTCTCTCTCTTTCCTTCTCTGTCGCTCGCTTCTTGTTCGTCTTGTCTTCGTCTCTTTCTCTCTTCGAGCCACCCGTCCTCCGTTTTCTCCTGGTCGTCCTCGTCCTCTACCACCTTCTCCCCCAGCTCTCTCTCTCTCTCTTTCCTGACTCTCTCCTCTCTTTACCTTCCCTCTGTCTCTCATTCCGCGTCTCCTGCTGCTCTCCTCTGTCCTTCTCTCGTCCTCCCTGCCTTTTACCTCCCTCGCTTATCCCTCTCTCTCTCTCTTTCTCTCTTTCATCTTCTCGTAACCCGACGATGTCCTCCCTCCACGATCTCGTCGTAGGGTGGAGACCCTCCCTGGTCCTCCCTACCTCTACCTCCTCTGTACCGGTGCTTCTCTTCGACTCTCATCTCACGAGGTGGGAGGAAGGGGAGAAGGAGGAGGACCTCTCTCGGTAACCTCTCTCCATCAGAGACGATCCGTGAGTCTGCTGCCGAGATCCGGAGCTTGGTATGAGGTGGCCGCTTCTATATCCTCTCATTAATATCCGACCTTAGGAGGTCCAAGGTGGCCCGTATGGCGGCCCTTTCTGTCAGTCCAGATCTTCAGCGACAGTCGTGCGCGACTGCTGCCGTCACGAGAAATAACTTGCCCGTTAACACACGGAAACAATAATCGAAGCTTTCTTTCGAAGAACATTCTATATTACTTTTGATGCTTTGT